CCTTCAGCCACAAGTCACCTGGCCCAGGCTCAGGGGGGCGGGTTTTCTAGGTGGATGCCGTGGGGGAAGCTGGGACGAGGAGGTCGGCAGCTGTTGGTCTTCGGCATTTCCGAGTCTGCTGATATCATGGCGGACTCGCAAGGGGTTGGGAGTCATCTTGATACAAGTCTGTCACCCTAGATATATGTGCAGGTGTTACCTAGCTAGTCGATGGCTAAGTCAGTGAGGTTGCATATTTAACATGAGATAGAAAGCGTAGCCAACGCACGGCGAGGATACAACATATCGGAGATATCCGGACCGTAGATAGAAATGAACAGATCAACTAGTCTGAGTATCTTAAGGACGGATTGCAATGCTCAACTGGCGCAGTTTCCCGACCGGTATCCAAAGTATCTTATACAGGACAGTCTACCGGATAATGAAACTAGATCTAATATCTTAGGGGTCTTGACCGGTGGATAATCTGCAGGAAACGCAGTGACTATATACCGACATGACTATGCTTCGGTGATAATTTGCAGGAATTTCAAGTATAGATACAGGAGCGTATGACTATGTGAGAAGCTGTATTTGGTACAGAGGTGATACTAGTACTCTGGTACATATGAAAGCGACCGCCTTCTTTCCTAGAAGCATGCCGAAGTAAGAACAAAAAAAGTTCCTCGATGAGCTGAAATTGACTATGAAAGGAGCAAACATTTACTTGGCTTTTACACCACGTCTGTGGCTAAGTCAATAAAGCAGACATTACTTTTGATACCTGGAGATCGTGTGCATTAGCCGCTTCACACGAGAGAAACCCTTAGAACCTGGTAACTCACCTGTCCCTCTCTCCCTTTCTTCTCCATATGCATAGCGTGGATATTGAGGATGGCTTCCAGGTGGATCTAATAAATGCTCCACAGCCCTGCTCGTGTGCAAGAACCATATCCCCGTCTCTGTCACTACCATGCGACTCCTACGGAAGGGCTTGAAGATACGGAAGTTCTGAAGTCGGAATTGATATATAATCCAATTTTTCTGCTCATCGCTATTGACTTGATCTTTCTGCACGGTCCCCAGATGGATGCCATCTCGGACCTGATGAACGTTCAGTGTCACAACATGTCCGAAGATGCGATGGACGCAAGGGACTTACGTTGGCAATAACTAGACCGTCTCGCGTCCATAGAGCATCAGTTACCTCACCACACGTCCTAAGGATTCGTACAGAATTGCGTGGAACATGTCCGCCAGTCCATTTGGAAAAGTTGCGGATAAAAATGAGATAAGATCCTGTACGAGCTATAGCATGACGTTGGTCCGGGGAGATACAGACTGTGGTCACCCGAGTAAGAAAAGTAACCCAAGCCACATGCAATAGCGAGCTTACCTAGACGAAGAGGGTCGCCAGTCTGCAACCCTTCTATCCACTTATACTCCAGCATGAAATGTCTTATAACGTTCCCTGACTCGAGCAAAACGGTCGAAGAGGGGCAGATCCCGCGAGGACACTCTTCCGGGCTTTTCATCAAAACTCCCTCGAATTTTCCGTCCCGACCAAACGCAACTGCACATAGATCTTGCTTCACCTCACCGAAGTGCTCGAGTTCATTACTGGTGTCCACTTCCGGGTAGACATGGTCCAGGCACAATCCACCGGTGCCAGAAATCAGCTGAGAGAGAGGTATAATGGTTATAGCATTGTCGGTCGAGATGCCCAAGTGTTCGTGGCTTAAGACCACGTCCACAACCCGATATTTTTGCGGTATGTCGCCCAACAGCCTGCCATTCCGGACGTCAAACACAAACACAGTGTCATCAGACACAGCAGCGACCAGCGGAAACGAGAAGCAATAGGAGGAGATGGGTTTGACCGTCGGTATCCTCTGTAGAGCGTGGGCAGAGAAGTGACCTCTCAGCTTCCAGTCTCCCAGTATATGGGCAAACCGTGGAGACTCTGGCTCCTCGGACAAGACTGCCAGTTTGCTGGCTGATGCGGAAGCTTGTGCCTGCTTCAGACCAGGGGAGGCAGGCGCGTTGAATACGGGTGTTGGAACCGCATTTCCCGTGGCAATGTCTCGAAAGAGAGGAATATCCGCGGTGCGCCTCCAGACCTCGATAGCAGGTGGAGAAGAGCGCATGAAGGTGAGAAAACCGTTGGAAAAGCGGCACTCAGCGCCACCATCGACATACGTCTGAATAAGTGTGATAAGGACGGCAGATGTTGGGGAAGAACGAGGACACTTACTTCCGGGAGCCGCCATAGGATGCGGTCCGTCTCGATCGCAGTAACATCTATGCCTCCGCGAGTGCTATTGCTTATCACGGTCCTATGCTTCTCGTCTATTGCAAAGGATTCCACATGTTCCCCAGGGCTCTTCAACGCACCGACACAGACCTTGGCCTTCGAAGGTGGTTTGCGTTTGTCCTGGTCTTTGCCATTCCATCTTCTTTGAATCAACAGCTTGCGGCGACCTTCCCACTGTTAGACGAGGAGCAAGAGCCTGAGAGAGAAGATGCTACTTACAGAATTCTTTCCAGCACACCACATCGTCCATGCACGGGGCGAGCGAGGCGTCCTCGAGCGAGACATGCGGCGCGACATATCCGTAAGAAATAGCTAGCTCATGGTAAACGATGTGCTCATTGCTCTCAATAAGCGCGCAGAGGTCATGGGATGTGGCCTTGACGCTGACAATGTCGGCGAATGAGACATTGGATAGGATCCGTAGAATGAGCTCGACGGGGAGAGTGGTGGTAAGCATCCTGGAGTCGAGTCGTTACTGCTTGTGGTGCTGAAGACAAATTTGAGGATACACGATGGAGGGGAGAAAGGGAAGTGGCTGCACTGCTCTTCGCCACAGGTGCGGCTTTTCAACCTCCGAAGCCACAACCAAGCCACAACAGGCCACAACCCATTACCACGTCAAAAAGGAAGTCCGTCCGGCAACTCCCGTGCCGAACCAGGTCGTGCGCGTATCAACGCAAGTTCCAAGTTGCAACTCAAACAAAGCACCCCCGTCGACCAACGCGTCCTGCTAACCATGTTTTCGATTCTGCCGCGCCTCTCGCGGACGCTGGCGTTCTCTGCGCCGGTATTCAGGGCGCCGACGCGTCGGACGCTGCTCACGACCGCGGTGCGCTTCGAGCCCGCAACGGCGAAGGCGAAGGCGACGCGTGCACCGAGAGCCAAGGCCGCCGACTCTGGCGTGAAGAAGACCGCCACGAAAGCGAAACCGAAAGCGAAACCGAAGACTAAGACCACAACCCAGGCCAAGGCAAAGGCAAAGGCTCCTCCAAAGGCGAAGGCTAAGCCGAAGGTGAAGAAAGTCAAGACGGACAAGCGTAAGTTCTTCCCCCCTCTCGCTCCCACATCTGAGCGTGCCCATTTTCCACCCAGCTCGACTCACACAGGAGGACCTCCCCCCGAAAAAGCCCCCGCCTCCCTATGTCATCTTCTACAGCCGCTACCTCAATGGCCTGCCGCAGCCCATACGGGGGCCGTCGGCGGTCCTCCAGGCCGCGCGCACCGCTTCGGGAATCTGGAAGGAGATGAGCGAGCACGAGAAACAGGTCCGCATTCTTTTGCGCTAATCATCGCCGCTCTGCGCGCGCGCTGACGCGCAGCAGGCGTTCAGCGACGAGTACCGGAGCCTCCTGCCCGAATATGAGAAAGCGAGGGAGGCGTACTGGACGAAGGTCGACCCCGCGGTGGTGCGGCGCATCAATAAGGAGAAGGCAAAAGACGGCAAGCGCCGCCTGCGCAGCCCAGTCTCCCGGAGGGTGCCCAACCCGTATGCGCTGTGCGTGTCCTCTATCTTGTTGTTCTGTGGGGAAGACGTGTGTTAATGGTTTCGCGGGGTGCAGGTTCGTGAAGGAGAATGCGGCGGAGATTAGAGCGGGGTTGGATTCGAACTCTCTGACCCCGCGCCAGATGGTGGGGGCGACCGGGAAGGAGGCGGCGCAGCGGTGGAAGGCGCTCTCGGAGGAAGAGAAGAAGGTTCGTTTGTGGTGAATCTGCTTTGTCCGTGCAGCTCGTGTCTGACTCATGCTGCAGCGATATGTTGACGAGGCGAAGGCTAAACGAGAAGCTGCCGACGCGTCATAACGACCTCGGTGTTGCTTGCCTGTTTCAGAGGTAGCGGAGCCACACATGACTTTGTCATTCAGATAATTCATTCCCTCCCTTCGTGCATGCGTTGATACCCTCTTCTACTTGACGCGAGCTCAAAGTTATTGTATTATAATAGATTGATATGATGGTCATGGTCTAATCATGACATCGACTTTCGTCGTAGTCTACTTTTACTCCTTTACCATTTGAATATGAATCGTCAGTGTCAGTCGCACGGGCATCCTCACGTCCACCAGGCCAAGATGCAGAAGGAGTGAGATGGCTATGAAAAGAGACGACTCGATGCGAGTTCAGTCGGTATGGATGCTGTGATGCAGCATGCACTGATGGGATAGCGGGTGATACGCACCTGCACCACTATCGACTGCTAAGGTTCGGCCGGAGCAACCTCCATAGGGGTGCCCGCTCCCGTACCAACGCTACCATCGGGGGTGCCCGTAACCTCCCCCAGCACGTCCTCCATCTCCATCTCCTCCTCATCCTCGCTGCTCGGACCCGCCGGTGTATCCTCCTCAGTAGCGGCCGCCATAGGATCTGCATTACCCTCACCCTCCCCTGCGGGCTGCACCCAGTCAAAGTCAATCTCGTCCGGCTGCTCCTGGTCGACGGCGACGCGGGCGCGCCAGTCGTACTTGTCCCTGAGCATGCTCACCGCGCGCACGGCGCGCGTGACGCGGTTGTCATGGTCCGCGCGGATGCTGTCGCACTCGGCGAGGACGGCGGAGTAGTCCGCGGACTGGTGGACGAGGACGCCGAGCGAGCCCTTGGTGGCCATGTGCTCCGCGAGGCGGCGCACGGTCGCGTTCTCGAGACGCAGGACGTCCGTCGTCTGTTGGTTGCGCAGGAGCGGCGCGAGCTCGTTGTCGAGCTGCGCGTCGGCGAGCGGCTTGGAGGGGTGCAGCGCGAGCTTCTCGTACGGGTTCTCTCGATCGCGTTGCTGCGGCTGCTGGGCCTCGTCGCTGTCGGGGTTGAGGTTGAGGTGGCCGACGAGCGAGGAAGAGAGGTTGTGTGTCTGGGAGAGGAGGATGTTGTACTTTGCGAGGATGTCGGGCCAGGGAGGCATCACGGTCGCGCCGCCCGCTTCGAGGGTGCGCTGCAGCGCCTGGATGGAGTCGATGATCTGCGTCGTCCGCAGCCGGAGTGACTCGAGCTGGCCGGTGGGTAGCGTGCTCGGGTCAAACGACAGCGAGGGGAGTGCCTTCGCGGGCGCTGGCTGCGGCTGCGACATGGCTCGGCGAACGCAACGGCTTGACGCCACAATTTACAGACTTGCCACAATTAATGCGCGGGAATAGAATACTCAAATTAACGCCCGTTTATTCCGAGTCGACTCGCCTTGTGGAATTTGAAAGTCGCTCGACGCTGGTTGTCTGAATTGTCTCGACAAACAGATTTTCGTCGAAACAAATCCGACAGTCAGTTCCGTCTGTGGAATCTCGGACAGCGCACAAGCGTCAACAGCGCTCACGATGGCTGCGAGAACTTGTTAGAGTTCTCGACCCTGGCTATTACGGCACTGGCTTTCGAAATGGCTTCCTGGCTTCTATCAGGGCGCTGGCTGGCAGGACTGGCGTCTTATGCTCCTTGAGACGCTGCAGTAGTACTTGTTACTTGACTGTAAGCGTGAAGCTGACGTCCCAGAAATCACTCTCCTTTCAACCTCCTAATGCAATCCGTCTTTGAATTATCCGTACCTCGAGTCATATGGGCCCTTGCCTTCTGTACCTTTGCTCTTGTCTTAATCAACCGAGTCCGGGATCGTAGCTTCAATGTCAAGCGCCTGCCCATACCAGTGAGTACTACCATGTCACTTCACTGCGCGATACGCGCAGCTAATCTTAATCGTTGTCGCGTCGAGTCGGGCGGGCGGTTCCTTTGGGGCCACGAACTCGACATATGGAAGGCTGCGGTAGGGTCCAAGTATACAGAATGGTTCAACAAATTTGGGCCTGTATACCGCGTCAAGGGCGCTTTATTCGTGTGTTCTCTTCATTCTCTCTTTACCCAAACGCCAACGATATTCACCGACGATATATAACGCAGCATCCCGACATCGTGAGTGCATCTTTTCAATTCGTACACTTGATCTTACATGAGCTCAATGATTCTTAGCTGGTGGTCGCAGACAGAGCTGCCATTAACCACATTCTCTCCACGAAAGTGTACACATATGGTACGTTCACGTCTAACGTCTGTTCCTTGCCGAACCCGCCAACTCAATACATACATATTATCACAGAGAAAGCCCCTCCAGCCCGCCCCATCATTGGCCGACTTGTCGGAGAGGGCATCATCTGGGCCGAAGGCGAACAGCACAAACGCTTTCGCCGGCTCATGGACAGCATCTTCAGGTGAGCTAGATCTCGCGCTATCCTCCGTGGCTCTCTGATAATGCTTTCACGCTAGCGCTGCGAGTACGAAGAGGATGACGCCTGACGTATTGAATGTATGCTCCCGAGTACGTGCGCTCCCGCCTTGTCGCACATGTCCTGGATAGCGTCGAATAATGGATATGTTGTGTAGCTGCAAACTAGGCTCTCTCAATATCTCCAGGATAATGGCGGCGACGCGGTCATCAATATGAAACCATGGACATCTGCCGCTACGTACGTCTCAGTCCTTTCTCATCTTCCTGCCACTGTCACTGGACTCGCACTGTTTATCACAGCCTAGATATAATCGGCTTTGTCGTAAGTACTAGAACCAACTTTGATGGTTATGGCCGGTCTACATGTCTCGCACTGGGTAGGGCTTCGGGTACGACTTCCGCCTTGGCGAGAGCCCCGAGGCGAAAGCTATAATCAGCGCATGGGCCGAGCAAGTCAAACTCGGGCTCGGAGAGTCCGCTTTCTTCGTGAGCATCTTCCGCAGCTCGTTCGTCCTATCCATAATAACATCTGCACGCAAATTGCACATCTGTTTACTTATGATAATGCTCCCAGGCGGAGATGGTATTGCGAGCATTCCCGCGGCTTCTCTCTATACCCCTCCCGGCGCTCGAAGCCCAGGGCAAGATACGCAGGATCATCGCCGAGCTCGCAAGCAGGATTATGGAGGACGCGAGGGCTGGAGGGGATGTGAGTCAGGGGTATAACTTCCTTGACGCCATGAGTACGTCTACTCCACCCTCGTGACGGGGTAAATTCTGGTGGTATGTTTTTGACTTGTATAGTGAAAGCCACCGGTGAAGGCAGGATGACCACCCAGGAGACGATTGACAACGTACGTCCCTCAGACATTCATGCACTATTTCAGCTTTCCTGACTCGAGGATCTTTCTACTTAGCTGTCATCGCTCGTGTATGCCCCCCTCGTACTTGCAAATGATGATTTGGTGCTCACAGAACCGTAGTTTGGCCGCATACGAAACCACCGCGGGCACGCTCGACTTCATGCTCTACGAGCTCGCCAAGAATCCCGCCTGCCAGCAGAAGCTCCGCGACGAGCTGCACGCCTTCGGCGGCGAGCCGACGTACGACGACTTCGAGAGGCCAGATCGTCTCTGCTACCTCGATGCCGTTGTCAAAGAGGGGTAACATCTCGCTCTCTGCACTCTCTTGTTGTGTGAGGCTGAAGGTATTGTGTTGGTCTTATGACAGACTCAGGATGTACCCGGCAGCGGTGCACAACGCGCGCGTCACGAATGAGGAGGATGTGATGCCCCTCGAGAAACCCGTTCGTCTGCCTTCGGGGGAAGTGATAAGTGAGATTCATGTTCCCGCTGGCCAAGTGCGTATATGAGCCTCTGCCATCATGACAATGCTCTGATGCACGGGCGTGCCGGATAGATCGTTTACACCCCGCACCTTTCCATCCAGCGGATGGAAGGAATCTGGAAGGATGGCGACTCTTTCAAACCCGAGCGGTGGGTCGAACCTGGCGGTTTACCGCCCCGAGAGCAGCTGCCGACCGGCTGGAGTAATCTCCTGACCTTCAACGCGGGACCAAGGTTATGTCTTGGGTATAGGCTCGGTAAGTGTTTGTCTAGGCTATGTGTAAGACTAGCGAATATCTCAGAGACTGATCCTTATGATTGCAGCGCTGCTGGAGGCAAAGGTATGTTGTTTGTATAGCACGGGGAAATTTTTGGCCGAACGCCTATTGTCTTGCCAGAGTATCCTGTTCAGCTTGATCAGCAACTTTGTCTTTCACGATACCGCGGCGAAGATTGATCTGCGCGTAGTGACGGTGCTGCAGCCCATTGTGGCGGGAGAGGATGAGAAGGGCGCGCAGATGCCACTGAGGGTGACGTATGCCCGGTAGTGTGTGCCGTATTTTCGCATGTCCATCGTTTTGTGTCTTGGGTTATGGAAGCTAATCAAAGGACATTATCGTCATCATTGCTATGAAAGGCGTATGTGGCAGAGCGCGCAGCCATGATTGTGGCAAGAGATTCCGGCAATAGCGCTCCCGGTGCCGTCGTTGCGCACAAGTTAAACAAGCCCACCCGCGGATCCGACAAAGTGAACCGAGGGAAAGACTGGCTTTCCGGAGATCTCTCATCTCCTCCGAGCTCAGCTCATCATGGACGCTAACAGACCTGCTCATCACTGAAGTCAACAGAATGCACCAGATCAGCCTCCAGACAGGCTTTAGACCCTTTGTAGGTCAAACGCTCTTGGCAAAGCCTATGATGGCCGCGAAAATCAGTGTCGGTCTCGGTGGCATGGCCGTTGCAGCACATGTAATCCACAAGAATCAATGATGAGCATGTATACAGACTTTCGCAGGTACGTCCCAGTTTGTACAAGTACTCATGTTAGACCCAGCAATAAGGGCTGAATTTATACAGCATGGATGCGCAGTTCCAAGCTCGTCCAACCTACTGTCCCATTCCCTTGTGAAGGTCTCCTATGGCTGCGTTGTTGACCCGTGATATATCATGGATCGTCTGCCTGGGGGCCATTATTCTCTCCGTTATCTTCCACCGAAGCCGAAAGTACAATGTCAAACGCCTCCCCAGGCCGGTGAGTACAACGGCTCGTTCGAAGCTGTAGACTCTGACTATCTGCTTCGTGCTCAGCCGGGTAGTCGATTCCTCTGGGGCCACGAGCTCGACATATGGAAGGCTTCGGTGGGGACTAAATACTCTGAATGGTTCAAGACATATGGACGTGACTATCGCATCAAAGGGGCTCTCTTTGTGAGTTATTATTCTCTCTATCCCGTTTTTAAATGTTCCTATATGCTCACCGTCATTACTTAATTAAGCACCCCGACATCGTAAGTCTCTACAATGAAACTCTTTACTAACGGGTCAAAAATCCGAAACCCCACAGCTGGTCGTCGCAGATCGAGCAGTTATCCACCACATGCTCTGTACGAAAGTGTACACCTATGGTACATGTATTTCTGCCTCTGCTCCGCCCTGCTCAAGCCCCTTGGTCTAATGCCTCCTGTCTTCTGTTGAGAGAAACGTCCACCAGTCCGCCCATTGGTTAAACGACTTGTCGGAGAGGGTATCTTCTGGGTTGAGGGCGAGCGACATAGACGCGTTCGCCGGCTGATGGAGAGTACCTTCAGGTACGCGAAAATATTTACCGTTGTCCACGCTCCGGAGTGCTTGCTGATGTGGCGTATCGTCGATTAGCGCAGCAAATACGGAGAGGATGACGCCTGACGTTTCGAACACTTCTTCCAAAGTACGCGTATCTTGAGCTTTCCTTAGGTCGTTTGTTGGAATCCGCTGACACTGGTATACTTGCAAAGCTGCAATCTCGACTGGCGCAGCATCTTCAGGATAACGGAGGCGAGGCCGTCATCAACGTGAAAACATGGACGTCAGCAGCCACGTATGTCACACATTCATACTCCACTACTTCACGAGCATTTCGTAGCCGCTCACATTACCCTCAGGCTAGACATAATCGGAATTGTCGTAAGCCCCACTGCCCACTTGCTCCCCTTCTCAAGAGTATAATCTTCTATCCAATCTGTAGGGTTTCGGATACGACTTCTGCCTGGGACAAAGTCCCGAAGCGAAGGCTATCATGTGGCATGGACGCTCTGCCTGTCCATGCTATCCTTGTTTGTGATCCGGATGTTGCTGGTCGTAGCTACAATGTCAAGTACCTTCCGAGACCAGTGAGTCCACCTCCCTCAATATGTCTAGGCAGAACCAACCGTTAACTTCGTGCTCAACCGGGTGGCCAATTGCTCTGGGGCCATGAGTTCGACGTATGGAAGGCACCTGCAGGAGGCAAGTACACGGAATGGTTCAAAAAATACGGCCCAGGGTACCGTGTCAAAGGAGCATTATTCGTAAGCCATTGTTTGTTCTACTCCCTTCATGGGCCAAGTGGACGTTATGTCCATCAATCATCAAGCACCCCGACATGTTTAATTCGTGAACCATCGCACTGGACTTTTCACCGATACTCGCACACGTTCAGCTCGCCATCGCAGATCGAGCAGCTATCCATCACATGCTGTTCACAAAAATGTACACCTATGGTATAATTTAGGACTCCTTTCGCTGCTCAAGCCGTCTAGTTTAACTACCTTCCCCCATGGTAGAGAAAGCTCTCACAGCGCGGCCACTGGTCAAGCGGCTTATCGGAGAGGGCATTATCTGGGCGGAAGGCGAGCAGCATAAACGCTTTCGCCGACTTACGGAAAACATCTTCAGGTAAGCCCGACTCTAGTGTGAGCAAGGCTTCGGAGTGCGTTTACCTAAGTGATTCCTGATCGAATAGTACAGCGAGTATCAAGAGTATGACGCCAGACGTGTTAGACGTCTCATCCAGAGTACGCATGGCTTTCCCCTTCGTAGTGCACGCTCGGACAAGTGCTGATAGAGGACCTGCTCAGCATCAATCTAGACTGGCGCAGTATCTTCAGAATAACAGCGGCGAGGCGGTTATCAATATGAAAGCATGGACATCGGCAGCTACGTACGTCTCCGTTCACAGTTCATGCCGCTGTCACTTCCCTTGGCCCATCCTCTCGTCTCGTAACTTGGACGACTCTGATCTTACTGTCCGTCTTCCCCAGGCTAGGCATTGTCGGCATCGTCATGAGTCCCATGTTGAACTTAGACCATGTGTTCAGAGTCTGATGTAGCGTTCGCTGATAGGGCTTTGGATACGACTTCCGGTTGGGTGAGGGCCCCGGCTATCATTAGCGCCTGGGCCGAACAGGCCAAAGCGGGGCTTTTGGACTCGGCTTTCTTCGTGAGTTGTTTCCAGTTCCTTCTTCTGCCCCACTTCCCGTAGGCATAAATATGCCCAATGCTAACGCTAATCAACACGCAAACTTCACCCGGGCCTTCCAGGCGGAAATGGTATTACGAGCAGTCCCGTCGTTGCTTTCTCTACCGCTTGATGCGCTCGAGGCGCAATGCAAAATACGGAATATCATTATAAAACTGGTGCATAAACTTCGTGATGATGTCCAGCTTGGGATGGATCATACGAAGGTACTCGGATCGGGATACAATTCCTTGATGCCATGAGTTCGTGTCAACCATTCTGGCTATTCGGGAATGCTGCTGATCAGCCAGATGTCCGTTTGCAGCGAAGGCTACGGAAGAGGGACGGATGACGGTTCAGGAAACCATCGACAACGTATGTCCACCCAATATCTCCGCACGTAAATTTCCATGACCTAGGCGCATTGTTAGCTCGCATCGCTCGTGTACGTCCTCCTTCCCTTCGTGCCTATGCAGTGCCTTCTCATTGCCTTCCAAGGGTGGCTGGGTATGAAACTACGGCAAGCACTGTCGACTTCATACTCTACGAGCTAGCAAAGAATCCTGAGTGCCAGCAAAAGCTCCGTGATGAGCTGCATATGTTAGATGGAGAGCCGTCGTACGAGGACCTTGAGGGCGTCCATCGGTTATTTTATCTCGATGCCGTCGTTAAGGAGGGGTATGTGCCCAGGGGTCTTTCTCATCGTATCGAACATGACCCTGGCAAGTCTGAGGATGTACCCCATAGCGGTGCACAATGTTCGGGCCACGACGGAAGAGGACGTGATTCCCCTAGAGGAACCCGTACGTCTACCTTCCGGTGATGTCCTACATGAGATACGCGTTCCTGCCGGTGAGGTGCGTCATGCTCATGCACACCTTAGAGGTAAGCGCTGACCGGACCTGCCGATCCAGCGTATGGAAGGCATTTGGAAGAACGGTGACTCGTTCAGGCCTGAACGCTGGATCGAGCCGGGGGCACTACCGCCCAAGGACCAGCTCCAGACTGGGTGGAATAATCTCCTAACATTTAACACGGGCGCAAGATTATGTCTTGGGTATAGACTTGGTTAGTGCGTATCCGAAGTGCTTCCGTCCACCAATTGATTTTGTTGTCGAAACATTGTTGGAGCTGAAGGTCCGTCGTTAAAAGTCCTGGCTAAATCCTGGCCGAGATACTTTATCAGAGCATCCTGTTCAATATGAATAGCAACTTTGTCTTCCGAGACAGTGGGGCTAGGATAGACCTGCGTGTGATAGTGGCCTTGCAGCCTATCGTAGTAGGAGAGGAGGAGAAGGGGGCTCAGATGCCTCTCAGGGTTTCCTTTGCGCCCTAAAACAGCCCGCATGCGTACTAGCCCACAAGACGAACTGCATACACGGTGCCAGTCCCTCGTCCGAGCCTCCCATGCTCGAAAAATTGAACCCCAAGAATAGCGATGTATATATAACCCGACGTTTCACCCAAAGCAGCCAGAATACAGCGGTACAAATAACAATACACTTGCGAGGATCGATACAACCCGGCGAAGGGTCAAGATATACATGATCCGGATGTGATATTACCACCCAAAAGATCTGTTTAGAACTTGTCAGACTCATCAGCCAGAGACGAACAGAAACGCGACTCACTCTTGATGTAGTTCCACCCCTCGAACCGCCTTCCTCCGACGAGGGTCGACGGTATCGACTGCTTTGCGAGCGTCCTTTCCAAGCCCTGCGGGCCCGCATACACCAACAACAATGCCCGATAGAGCTGTTTGGTTCTTCCCGCCAAATGTGACCGACATGGTGCAGTCTAGGACGGCCTCGAGTAACTTGGCCGGTCTCGGTCGGCCCGGGAGGAGGGTCAATCCCGGAGGCAGAACTATCTTATTCAGGTCCATCATTGTGGCCCTGGTATAGAACACTTGGATGCGGAGGCTCGTAAGAGTGCTCTGTTGGAGCAAGGCAGTAAACAAGGGGATAAGGGGTACCAATGCGGCTAGCGGGGTATGAACTCAGGATTGCCGTGCGAGTAGGCCAAGCTGCGGCACGCTCACCTGGATCTTGGACTGCCCAGGCAAGCTCAATCACCTTGACGCGGCTTGTTCCGTCGAGATCTTGCTGGATGAGGTCCTGGACAGCGGCCAAAGCAAAGGTGATGCCGCTTCCGCCAGCGATAAACAGTGCGCCCGAGTAACTGGCAAAGACACTATGTCCTGGTCCACCTACAGCGTCAGGGGCTGAGTCAGGATATCCACGCGATACTAGAGATAGGGTAGTCCGCACCATAAGGTCCCTCAAGCCATATCCTCACGTCACGGCCATACGCATTATCGCCGTACTCTGAAAGCTTCGCCATCTCGTACAACCTTGACGTCCAGTCGCCTGCCTTCTTACACATGAGCACCATGCCCTCGGGGCCCTTGCTCACGCTGGCGATCGTGAAGGGGTGAACCTCCGTCCATGCCCACCACCCCATCCACAATGATAGAACGCGCAGCCGCACGTGCTGCCCGGGGCGCCACCCCGCGTTGAGCTGCGGGACCTCCACGCGCGTCAGCGCAAGCTCGGGGATGGGCCGTATGCGCGCGATGCAGACGCGGGTTTTGATCAGGCGCACGAGCAGGTCGAGGCCGTAGAGTCCGACGGCCACGAGGACGTACGGGATGGTCGAGGGCTGGTGGTAACACGTCTGTGGGCAGTTTCGTTAGTTGGTCCAGAGTGGTATAAGATTGTCAAAGGACCTACCCCAAGGAGCAGTACAACTACGGCGACGAGGTGCGATGCAAAGAAGACATTATACGCCTGCAGGCGCCACGTTTCGGTGGACGTGAATACCAGCACGTCGAGAGCGAAGGTGGCTACGAAGCCCCAGGCTACCGGCGCATGCTTGATCTCCTCCGTGAAGGTACCCTCCAAGCACCACTTGTACACTGATATATACTGATTAGGGAAGCACGACGGTAAGTATCTTGGTTACTCACCGTAACCCAGCGTATGGATATTGGCGGCGATGGCCAGCAATTGCCCCGCAAACCGGTGGAGGTAATTCAGCTAGATAACGCAGCTGGATCAATATAATGCAAGCTTTAATATGGAGCGCGCGCAGGCTTACATGCTGATACGCCACGTCTGTCACCATCCCGATCAAGTTAAACTTTGTCGCGAGCGCCACGACCACGGGGATCTGGGACATCGCGACAAAGCCCGTGCGTACGGGGTCTGTAAACAGACTGGAGTGCCATAAAGACGCAAACAGGAGGACACCGAAGTACGAGACCATTATTATAGCCTGCCCGAGGTTCAGCTCGCGTGAGACCGAATAGTTTAGCATCCGGGCCAGCGGAAAGGCGAGCGTCGACCATGCGCGCGTGTGTGGCGGGAAAGAGTAGTGAACATGGCCCCGCTTCTCGCTGCCACGGCGCACCAGATGGCTATGCGAGTTGAGGGTGTGCGAGTCTTCCGAGCCCAGTGCGAAGGATGATTGCTGGTTAAGGGTGGGTCTGCGTTTCGGCCTTCGCGGAGGCGCCACCTCGGTCGAGCGCAGCAGACCGCCCTGACCCCATTCAAAGCCTCTGGAGAAACGAGTGACGCAGCGGGGGATGGTAAAAAGAGCGAATACGGCGACTCCGCAAAGGAGGACGACGTCTGTGTACAGTGCGAGCTGTAAGGGATCCACAACCGGCTCCTCCACAATGAGGTGAGTCGAGTTCTGGGACGCTGAGGAGGCCGACATTCTAGGGGAGAGTGAAATGCTTTCTGTCCGCGGAGGGAGGTAGAAAGCAGACTGCAAGATCACCAGGATCTTGAGAGTCAGGGTAAGACGGGTAGACCAGCCAGGAGCTCTTACTGGGAGTACGAGTTAACTTCCTATAGAACTGTACGCCAGGCGAACCGGCTTATATAGCGGCAGCGACAGCAGCACGTTAGTGCAATGGAGCATACGGCAGGATCGTGAAAGTCATTAATGAGAATGGAGATGAAAGGCACACGAGCCTCGTTGTTCTCTGTCTCATTTTTAGGGCCGTGTAGACCGTGCAGGTGTCCCGAAATAGAACACGCAAGAGCGTGCATCTTATCAGCGGGTCAGGAGATCTAAGCGAACCTCGAGGCACAGCATATCCCGCGGCTGTGGCTGAGCTCGGACTTGATAACTGCCACCTAGTCGAGTACCGTCGGAGTAGGACGGTGACTTTGCTCAATACCAGGGTTGGCTGAACCTGGAGGTCTGGTCATAATGAATGGTCGGCGGTCTTTCAGACCCTGCTCTATGTGTCATGGGGTTCCTACACGTTGTTATCAGCCTGCCAATGGAGATCTTGAAGGAAGGTGCCTTACCTTTGCATCTCAGTCGCACTCAGGTATTCGACCAGATGAGGAGGATCTAATCCCACTAATAGAATCCCATTGTGCGAGGCTAGCGATAATGTAACCCTAACACCTGGCGTTCAGTGACAGGCGCCTCAAGGTGAGTGGCAGACACCAGTACAGATGGATGGACCGGCAGCAGTCGTGGCTTTCGTGCGTCCGCTCCACTCCACGGCCGTATCTTCGAGCAAGAGAATGAGCAGAACAGGGAGTATGAAAAGTACGTATGACAGGGCCCGGGCAGACCTCTGCTTGACGGCATCACCGTCGACGGCCGGCGACTAGGACGTGGTAATACTAAATTGAGTGGAAGATGCCATAAGAAGGTAGGAAAACGGCGCAACACTTGCGGCTTTGTCAGGTAAGAGATTAAGAAAAAGACGGCCATCCTCTTCGTCCGTTTCTTCCCTGCACGTCCCACCTGCGCCTCTCTGTCAAAGGACACTTGCAAAGCGAAAGGGGATGATAAGGCTACTAGTAGAACAAGTTTCCAATACTTAGCAGGTCCAGGTCGAGTTTACAATCTTCGTGTATTGAGGTTCGCCTTGGGTCAATATTAGCTACTCTGATAAATCGCAGTGTACATAATAGTGTGACCAATGTAATTGGGTAGCCAAGCGCCCAAGGCCAACCAAGGCAGAAAGCGCCGAGGCCGACTGCGTCGGGTAACTCCTGAACTTGAACGGAGGCGCGAGTGTCTCAGATGGATATATATGTTTGAGACCGGTTAGACTAGTCTGCACTAGTGACTCTGATCAAACCGCACAGGCCGCGCCATCTCTCAAGTACTACAATGTGAAAGCATCCCGAGATGACCGGGATATATGAACCTCCGATGTCGTTCGAACAGCCGAAGCTTCAACTTCCAAGATCGCCTTCTACTCGACTAGGGGTAGTACTCTCAAACCGCCATGCCGAACTCGAAGACTTGCATTAATTGCAGGTAAAGGCTCTCATATCTCCACATCGTGCTAGACTGACTCGTCCTCCGAGTCGAGCAGAGCGAAGAAAGTGGTGAGGATATCTCCGTACTATACCCGGTGGTAAAATGGACTAATGTCTCACTGCCAGAGGTGCGACGGAGTGACACCAATGTGCGGACCGTGCTCCAAAGCACGCATACGCGCGGAGTGCACATATCTCCGTAACCCTCTCGACATAGTGAAGGCACCTGCCGTCCAGAAAGGCGCAGCATGTTTACCTTGCAGGTGGGTTGTCTAGTTACCTGTTGGCACAGACACACGCACAGTCATCTGACACTTTCTTCAGAAGGAAGAAGAAGGTCAGCGCTCTCCGTTCTTAGATTTGAATGGCACATCTAACAGCTGACGAGCGCAGAAATGTGATGCCCAAAGGCCATTCTGCAAGACATGCCAAATCGCGGGCAAAGAGGATGAGTGTCACTACACCGACGGCAGTCGGGGCAGCCTCGCGCGTGACCTCCTCCGGCGCAACCGCGAGCTCGAAAATAGACTGAAGGAATACGAAGAGAAGAGTTCTTCAGGGAGTCCACAACGTAAGTCTCTCAGAAACTCATCATAACACAATCTGACATCCAAGTCGTAAACGAACCTCCAGCCCCTGACTCGTCGTCGGCTTCGTCCAGCGATGCGCCCTCATCCTCATCAACGTCGCCCAGCTTACACTGTCTAGGGGATTTTGATGGGCCTGCCCAGTCAATATCAATGTAAGTTTCGTTTCTACCTGATCTACATTCCCATCTGCATCTGTCTGATCTCGGCTACCTAATCAGCGCTCACGCGGACTGCGCCATCATTGAACCTGTACTCGACATTGCATATCCCGACTTCAGCGGCACCGGTGCGGAGGTTGTGTTTCCGTACGCTCCTGCAAACTCGGACGTGTCCTTCCATCTCGCGGATACATGCCGCCATTCCAATCGAGAGTTGTGTGTCCCCATCTTCCGCGTTTAGCTATCGGAATACATCCATACTGACTTGACTGAATTGCCAGTCGTGACCTGTTCATATCTCATGGATTGCAGCTCGGCCTCGGCATATGCGAAACAAAAGCCGGCGCACTAAGTCTCGGGGAATGCTCCTCCGCCTCCTCGGCAGTATCGCCACTTCTGATACACGTAGCCCAGCTATGGGGCTGTCTGCTCTGGCAAGAAGTCAACCTCAAGTTCGGCGTGAGGGAAGAAGACGAGGAGCTGGCGCAAGTCCTTGCCCTGTTGAATATGGGACCCAGCAGCCCTCACGATGCTATGACGTTTGTCATGGCTCATTGTCTGCTCTCGACGTATCATTTCTCGAAGGTTAACATGGTGGACGGACGGGAGCATCTCATCAAAGCCGCTACTGTAGCTTCGGATTTCCAACTAGGATTTGACCAGGTGGCTTCACGGGCTATTTCTGACCATCCGTCGGTATGTTAACGTTCAACTTCTCGCGGGAGCAATGGATTGACTTGCGTCCGCAGAATGGACTTTATTCGGCGCAAGAGGAAACCGCTATCTTATGCCAACTGATATATCACGACATTGGCTGTTCATTATTAATGAATGTTCCCTCTGCTGGAGATGGGCGGATGTATAACCAATTTAAAAACCTCCAGGTAGGCCCATTTGACCTATTCCGTTGTTCTCGATTCTCATATCTTCATGCACAGTGGCGTCCTTCCGACTTCTCAAATTTAGACCTGATTATCTGCCGAGCGCACAGCGTCTCACACCTACAAGAATCGGGCCATCTCGCTGGCGTGTGGCTTGAAAACACAAATGGTACTTCGAAAATTATCTCTATGACAAGAGTGATGGCTTACGCTCGTTTCTTTGGACAGGCGCAAGCTCCTTCCCGGCATGCTGCTACGAGTGGTACTTCGACCTACTGCAGCGGACGTGCGACCACATCGCCACGCTCACCCCAGCGCTGCTCAAATTCTCCGTCCTCAGCTGGGACCGTCATCGGCTGCTCGTGCTCAAGCTCTGTCTCGCAATGGAGCACGCAGCAGCAGCGGAATTGTATGAACTGCTGGCGGATACAGAGCCGAGCTGCGGAGACAAAGCAGTGAGCGCAGCATTGGAGATCGTGCGCATTACCGCCACGTTCGAGGACTGCGATTTCCACTTCCTGGATCCGATTCTCGGGGTGAGCTGGGTTTCATTGTGGCAATACGGAACGTTCTGTCTTGACATTTCAAACAGATCTGTTGGACGGCAGCGGCGAGGGTGCTCAGGAAGAAGCAGGCAGTGCTGCGCAATAGTTTCAGGTCAGCAAGCACTGGGCTACTCCAACTGGACGAGTCGACAATTCGTCGTAGCCTCTCCACTATGGTCACAGCATCGCTAAAACTCGAACGCTCGATGCCTTTCGTGACTCGTAAGTGCTTATCGGCTACGGTTTGATATCCCCGATGAGCTTATCGCGCCATCCAGGTCCGCCATCCACTGAAGAGAGTTAGCCATACTATCATTGAGGGGGTTCTGCAAAAAGTATCGAATTCGGCCTGTAGCATTCCGCACACTTGGCGGATTCTTACCGGATCTTCCGCATATTGTGTGTAACTTAGTGATGAACGTCCTCATTATTTTTGTGCATTTTTATGCAGCCTGTGGAACGTAGGAGAGAGATGCCGGTTCATGTAGGGGGTTCTGCAAAAAGGTGTCACATGCGGTCACAGTGGGATCTCGCCGCGAGCGATGTCACGCTTTTGTCACGATATGGGCCCGGGAGATGTGCAAAGTTGCCTCTCTATCTCGACACGCTCGTTATTTACTCTATCGGGCTGGTTTATTGTACTATAGACAGCGTATTCATGATACGCCAAGCCATTCCACTGCAGTCCGTTGAGAGCATCACGAGAGATCTAGTGGACACTGTTTCCTTCCCATGGCCTACCGGACCCATTTTCTCTCCCTCTCTTCAACCACAGCAGATATTCCCATTCTGACTTGGCAGAGGTTCTATTCTAGTGTATATATACCTGCCTGAGCTTACCCAACATTTTTTGGTTGAGTGTGGAATGAGATATAAGGGGGTGAGGGGGTTCTGCAAATTTTGCAGAACCCCCTCAATGATAGTACGACTCATGCGTTGGAGACACGTCGTACCAAGCTAACTGCAGAGCGTCAACTCACTTCTAGGAAGTGGGGCTTCTTGTATTTTATCATCGGGACGATGCTTTGACCGGGTAAATCAGTCATGTGGTACATAGAAGACATATTTTACGGAGCTGTACAACACTGTTCGGGCAGCTAGCCTTCCTATATTTTATACGCAGGGGAAACTTCGGAAGAACATTACTTCATTACTTGGCCAGGATGCAATCCATGGCCATCGGATCTTGGCTTGTCTACGACGACGAATCCGAACGTATATAAGGGTGTAGAAGCCCAGAACGTGTTAAATCCCATAATCACTTCATCACTCATCGCACACCTCCCTCATAACGATGGCAAACCGATTCTCAGTATTCAACGGTGATTTTCCCGCACCCGAGTGCACGAACAAGTTCACCCTTAGTGCGAAGCCCAATACCGATCTCTGGCGCAGTCCTAGTCGCGACGTGTTCACGGCCCCTATTATATACCTGAAGGAGCGCCTGTCGACGTTCAGACGAGCACGCGTTACCGTAGAAGTGCCGGGAACGCGCCTCTACGATCAGGGCGGCCTGGTGTTCATACTCCCCGGGTCACCTCAGCGCTGGCTGAAAGCGGGGATAGAGTATGTAGACGGAATTCCGAAAGTGGGGGCGGTCGTGGTGGACAGATACTCGGACTGGAGTTTGGTAGAGCTCCAGAATTCGGAGAAGGGACTCATCACCGTTGAGTTCGAGAGGGAAGGGCAGGGGCTGTGGGTGTACGCGATCGAGAAAGATGGCAAGAGACAGGCGATCAGGGAAATCACTTGGGTGTTCTCTGAAGGACTCGACAACCAAGAACTGTGGATCGGGCTGTACGCAGCAAGGCCCAATGCGGATGCATCAGAACCACTAGTGGTGAAGTTCGAAGACTTCGTTTTGGAGAAGGAGTGAAGAGACGACGTACTGCTAGCTCGTATTTGACAGCTTGTAGTAGGTTTATGCATGGTATCACTGTTATCACGGTCTCCGACTGTCCAAGTGTAGCATGATATATCGGAGCATTTTGGAGTACTTATGGTGGCTTCGGTTCTTCACTTTCTGGGTCCGATCTCATGGCTTACACCTATTGGGTCGGCAAACGTGGCAGGTCGTTTTCGGGTTCGAACCAGTTAGTGGGCCTTGCAACAACCGCTACCCGGTAGCAGTGTTGAATGATCTATCCGAATTGTTAATAATGACAATAGCTCGACTCATCTGGATTACTCACCTCGTAAGACGTCGAGGGCCCCAGCTGCCGATGGGTGATCCTCAATTGACACGGCAGAATATGATGTGCATACCCATGCAGTGTATATCAACAACAAGAGGAGCCTACAAGATCCAATGCGGACACCAAAGTCATAGGAAACCAACGGAAAACCGAGGGAAGAAGATATACAACCAGAAGTCATTACCTAGTCATAAGTGTCAGACTCGTCACAACGGACATGCGATATCATGGTGTACAAACGACCTTCCACATATGTATCGAGCCGGAAGACATTACGGGATCTAGGTAAGGAGCGGCGATGCTTGCTAAGCTAAACAACATAGACGGCGAGGGGGGGTGAACAAAGTCACTGCAGGTCGAGAAATGCAAGGGTATCAGAAAGTACTTATACTAGCCAACGAATAATTAAGGAGGATCCATGCGAAGATGCAAGCCAGCAATACTTGGACCACAATAGTATGCGAAGAGGCGGGACGTCGACTAGATGGCGTACAAGTGTCGCTGCTGAGGGTCGACGTGAGCATGTGCCTTAGAGGCGCTTACCGGGGACAGCCCAGAAGATGAGCGTCAAAGCAACGCTACACGCGGCAACGAGCATGGACACCCAGAGCGCGCGGCCGATAAGCAGCTTCTTCACGTACGGCTCCTTGATCGACAATGTGCGGAAGGGAGTGGACTCGGATTGGTTGAAGAGGATGAGGATGGGGTCAAGCTCGTACTGGTGCGAGATCAGGAAGAGAACGGCGAGGGTGAAGGGAATGAAGAGCTGTAATGCCGTAAGTCAGCTAGAATATGACATGAGGCTCAAGGTACTCACGAAGAACCGCTTCGATTTCGGATGCACATCGAGGAAAATCAAGGAAAATCCGACGGCAAGTCCGATCCAGAGGATGATCAGGCCAGCGATCAGCCGCACCAAAGCGCTGACGGGCGTCAAATTGCCGAACGCCTTCGCCCTGAGGAAGCGAGGGAACGCATCCTGCTCCATCGCACGGAAGCAGTACTCCTTCTGAGCATGGAACATATCGGGAATCTGTGCCATGAGTGCTTGCTCCTGGTCGTTGCGGGGTTCACGCTCGCTGCTCAGCGGGAAGGAGTGAATGCGTAGGGACGGAGGAAGGTAGATCTCATGGGATTCACCATCTATGGTGTTGCTGGCAGGTGTGAGATACTTGTAAAAGATGTGCTCGGCTGAGCGGATGAGGTCCTGGCGAGTCACTGCCTGCGAGCGAGGAATAATGGTAGGCGCTCGCGACGCGCGCTTGCTGAAAAGCGTAGGCGTACGCCCTCCAAGCGAGAACGGGGTGGTGGAGCGGGGCACGTCAAAGGGGTCCTGCGGCGAAGTGGAGGCGAAGGGGGAAGTCGGGCGGGGGCTCGTCGACATCTCGGCTCGGTCCTTCTCCCCTAACCCGGCGAGGTGGTCCTTCTCCTGTTGCGAGAGCATCTCATTCGTGCTTGCGGTGCTCCGCTTGGTCTGCATCCCGGCCGCACTGGAAGGATTGAGTCCGACTACAGTTCCATAGATGGAGCCCCGTCGCCGAGCGTAGTCCCAGTACTGAGGCCAGTCGTCCCTGATGGTGCGTCCAGACTTGCGGACATCCTTGAAATAAGCCCTGCAGAGGTTTTCATGCTGCTGCACGTCGAGCCAGAAGTCCAGAATGTCTTCAGCTCCCTCTCTCTGCAGGAATAAACTTCGATAATGTCAGTAAGAGCTAGCGGGGCGATCGACCGTGTGTAAATCGCGCATGAGGGTCATTCACATGGGTCTCCGTCGCACGTCGTGGTGCACTGGCCAACTCGATGCCCTACAGCCACGATAACGCAGCAGAAACGCGAATCAGGACAGACTCACTAGAACATGAACAAATCCACGGGTGGTCTCGTCCTCCGCGACAGCACCTCGGTAAAGGAGGGCAGCCTGTTCTTGCGAGCCGTCGCCCAGTCGTCCTGCATGTTGTCTCCTGACATCGTCGATGTTGCCTGCGACGACGAAGGGGGTAATTAGAGGCCAAGTACTGTATTGCCGGCTAGCCTCCAGACAACGTTGGTTTCCTTCCGTTGCCTCGTTTCGCGTGTCGACCGTGGGCGAATATGACGTAAGCACGGCGTTCAACAGGAACAGAAGGAATTCGAAGTCGTACTACTCCTTGTGGCTGCACTTGGACTTTCAACGCCCCGGCTAGAGATGTTGCGGTAAGAACGAGGTAGGTCTGAGCTGGAGAGGAGATATTGAATAAATGTTTACAGGAAAGCCTGTCACTTTGCAAGCTGCAAACAAGCTCGCAATGTGAAGTTAAACAATGTACGTGAGTCTCCCAGTCCAGCGCTAGCCCAGCCTTAAGCTTGTAAGCCTTCAAGCCTTCGATGTCATTCACGTACAACTTCTCCATTGTGAAATGTCATTAGTCAAAAGAGGTAATTTCACTGGACATGCTCGACTCGGAGGAGGCCCGACCGAGAGATCTCAAATCTTTCCACTCTTTTTGGCTTGCGCCTCTGTCTCTTTCACAACCCAGTCTGCAATGTTCGTGGCCGCCTCCTGGTGAGATGTCTTATACATCATCAAATACCCTTGCAGGCTGGCCATCGAAAAACTTTCATCTGGAACAGCGTCCGCAAATTGCGACGCAAGGTCAGATACTTCATGCTTTGAGTCAGATGTCTTGAAATCGTGCATAAGGCTACCGTTTGGGTTCATCGGAGCGTCATCTCCGGGCGCATAGAACGTTCTGAAGAGCTCCCTCGCCTGATACCGACTGGCGTGTTTGAACTCAATATGTCTGTCCATGCGACCGGGTCTACACAGCGCAGGGTCCAGTGCCAGATATTTGTTCGTGGTGGCAAAGAGGATCCGGCCCTCCTGGGCACCCACCCCGTCTATCGCGTTCAGCAGCCCACTGAGTGTGACGCTGCCATCCTTCGGAGGGCCAATCGCTACCACGGGGGCCTGCGCCTTCCCGTCATTCTCGGATTTGCCCTCACCATCGCCTGCTTCCCTGGTGAGCTCCTGCTTAAACGCCACATCTATGTCCTCCATTATCGCTATGCATCGCTCGGGCAACTCGCCCATGAGCTGCATAAGTCCCGAGTCGTCCAGCCTTTCCTTTTTGATGGAGATAATGTACACGTCAAGGCCGAGCTCGCCGGCCACACACTGGATCAAGCTGCTCTTGCCCGATCCGGGGGCGCCATACAGGAGGTATCCGCGACGGAATGGTATTCCGCGTCGGTGGTACCAATCTCTACTGTTCAGGAAGTCACGAGCGTCTTCGACCACGCTCTCCTTGACTCCTGGCTCGAGGATGAGAGAGTCGAAGGGTCGCCTTTGGAATGAGCCAAGTTGCTTCCAGCGACCCATGGGCATCGTATCATAGATAAACACAGAGGTGGCCTGGCTGTGGACGGCGTCGAACGTATTTTTGGCCTGCTGAAGGAGGGTCGACAGGATGGCATGATCAAACGTAAATATTCGGATGGTGAGTGTCTCAATTTGGCTCTGAGTGAACTCTGACTGAATATTTTCCTTTTCCCGATACACGAGTACCAAATGCCGATGATACCACATCATATGCGAAAAGCCTAACGAGGGCAGGAACGTCATCCTGCGCCACATCTTGTCGCTCGAGGAGTCCTCCTTCCTGCTGTGGTCCCATACTGATTTGATGCCGACTGAAAGGAGATCACGAGTGGTGACCTCGACCCTGCGCGCGTTGCGCCACGTTGGCTGCTGCGAGAGCCAAACCATCATCCATGAGTAGGCTACGGTGTCCTCTCGGAAAGAGGCGGTAAGGAAGAAGATGGACAGGATACGCTCGCGTATGGCCGCAATGCTGTCCCGGAATAACGAAAGGATGAGTCCCAGGGCAAATATCCGGATGTATTCACGAATGGCGGGAGAGGGGAAGGTCGCTAAGAAAGGCAGGTGGAAGATGGATCCCTCAACGGCGACATCGGTGGTGTTCATACTTTCCGCTGGGTCTGCTTGGTGTCGGTCGGTGAGAGAAGAGACACGCACGTCAGACCCTTTTATACACATCCTGAATCTTCTCATCCGACGTCGACCCTAGCGATCCCGATAATGAAGTCAGCTCGCGGGGTTGAAAGCGATCAACTCGATTATTAGGCCCTCCAATCACAACACTGGCCGTCCATCTGACCGCAGCACGAGGGCGGCAACTCAAAGAAGGGATGCCTTATGTACATAGACATGCGCAACGTTTTCGGGCGCCAATCTCCACCTCAGGCCACAGTGCACAGCACTGACTCAGTGCCTGACAGGGAAGACTTGAATGTCACGTCAGTGGCACAAGCAGTGTACGTACCTTTAGTCTATTCCTGATATGGTGGGCATCGTGTTACAGAACGTCCCAGGGTCATTCATCGGTTTCTTTCTGTGTCCATGCTAAGGCATCATAGAAGACGAGGTGCCGCGGGGGGGGGGTGGAAGAAGAGCTGCAGGGGAGCTCGGTAAGTTAGTCCGACGATAGTCAAAGAATCATCGAGGCTCCTACGCAATGACGGGTGCTGTGAAACAAACATCAAGCAGCGATTCCCCTACAAATGTAGGAGGATCTAAACGTCCCTGGACGAGGATGCTACTCACCAGAGCTGCACTTGGCGACTACTCAAGAATGGAACAACATCCAGTAGCCCCAGGGGCATGCAGCGTCAACACCAGTCATGGTGCATACCTTATCTCAACGGAGAGTCGTCGAATCTCGAGCATGTAGGTACCCGGACTCCGACAACCCCGCGTGATCCGAGGCGGCCAGGCGGCCAATAAACGTTTGAACCGCTGCCTCTTCTCTCTGTTCATCCAATGAGCGAGCCGCGCCAACTTCCATAACGATAAATGGCGGTATCCAGAACTGCTGAGCGAGCAAAAACTGCTGACCAAGCGGACCAAGCCTTGCATTACGAAGATCATGGCTGTACAAAACACGACCGCGTATAAAGCCGTTCGCCTCGAATCAATGAAGGACACACATATCAAGCGACTTGGATACTCAATCCGCCACCGATGGCCTCTGAATCCAACCTCTTCCAGCCCATCCAAGTCGGTGATGTCACGCTGCAGCACAGGGTCGCCATGGCGCCCTTGACGCGTTTCCGCACGGACGAGAACCACGTCCCGTTCGACGTCGTCACTGAGTATTACGCGCAGAGGGCCAGCGTGCCCGGGACGCTGCTCATCAGCGAAGCTATCTTCATCGCGAAGAAAGCAGGGGTGTTCGCCGCGGGCTACAACGCGTACATACCAGGTCTTTGGAGCAGCGAACAGGTCGAGCAGTGGAAGAAGGTACGCGTCCGGTGTCTTAAGACAAATTCGCTACCATGCTTAGTTGAGTGCTTTAGGTGACCGCTGCTGTGCACGCCAAAGGCTCGTACATCTATGCTCAACTATGGGCCTTGGGCAGGGCATCCGATGCCGCAGCGATGGAACGGCTGGGCCTGCCATACGTCTCTGCTTCCGACCTCCCCCTACCCGGTCAGACTGCTGTTCCTCGGCCTCTTACCCGAGAGGAGATCCACGAGTACGCGCAGCTGTATGCCCAGGCCGCCCGGAATGCTGTAGAGGCAGGCTTCGATGGCATCGAGGTCCACGGAGCGAACGGGTACCTTGTCGATCAGTTCCTGCAGGATGTGACGAACAGGAGGACGGACGAGTACGGCGGTTCCGTCGAGAACCGGTCTCGCTTTGCACTCGAGGTTCTTACAGCGATCGTCAAAGCTATAGGAGAAAAGAAGACTGCGATCAGGCTGAGTCCATGGGAGCGTGTGCAGGGCTCGTATCTCGGTCTTCTACATCTCTGCTCTATTAAACTTACCTACTATGGTTAATCAGGCATGGGCATGGCCAACCCCAAACCTACCTTCACCTACGTTATCAGATCCATCAAGGAACTGTTCCCGAACTTTGCCTACATCCATGTGACAGAGCCTCGAATCTACGGCAACACCGACCGCGAAGTCGTCCCAGCCGGCGAATCCAACGACTTTGTCTACGATCTTTGGCTGCCGAAGCCCTTGGTCATCGCAGGCGGCTTCACACGCGAGTTGGCGCTGGAGGCAGCGGCACGAGGGAATGTAATTGTCGCCTTTGGGAGGTATTTCATCTCCACTCCCGATTTGCCGCTCCGCTTGCGGAAGAACATACCGTTGAACAAGTACGATCGGCCAACGTTCTATACCACAGGGATAGAGGGGTACATTGATTATCCGTTTGCTGACGCTGGGGAGGATAGAAAGGCCGCTCTTTGACGGTTTCGGTTCGGAAAGTGGGAACTGTAGAAATACCGAAAAACGCTCTTTGAGTTAGTTATTTCAGGGCCACAGCAGTAAATTCCATTGACCTGAGCTTGGTATCGTCTGCAAATCGTTTTTCGCCATGGGCATTTCGCGCCAAAGGGTACATTTCTGCGAAATGACTGTATCGAGACGCTGCTTGTCAAGACAAGTGGCCGTTGCGATCAGGTGGCAGTGTTCTCCTCGTGGTTGATATTTTTAGCAACTATGCCCAAACGGGAGACTTCTGACCTTGGAACGATGGCATTGATCAGCATCTGCTGCAGTCTACAGGCCTGCAGGAACGCGTATGAAACAATTCTATGTCATTTCGGAGGCTTAAATTTACTCGTCCTCTTCGCAATCTACGACATAACGGACTCGCTTTATCCCTGACCGTAGTATCTGTATCTGCAGTCACCTTTACGGCGACCACAGGTCTGTCAAGTGATAGCGCAGGTTCCCTATCACGTTCAATTTGGAATCGAAATATGAACGGAATGACTTCTGCTGTCGGGAACTCTGCAGATTCGAGCAGCAATAGATCAGCTCCGATCAATGTGTCACTAGACCAAGCAAGGGCAATTCTGGAACGCGCAACGGGGCAAGATGTAGAAATAACAAGCCTGAAAGAATTGAAATCGTATGGCTATAGGTAAGCCACACTCTTTGCATTTTATAAAATATCTGGCTAACTTGACTACTATCAGTTTACCAAACAAAGTCTACGAAATACAGTCAACGTCCGGCGACCCCGCCGCCCCATCGACCTACATCCTAACGGTCACATCCCAAGACACCCCCTCCGAGACCGAATACCGCCCCAACACCCTCCTTTCCTCCGCCCACCTGCACTCCCTCATCTCCTCCAAGTCCTGCCTCCCCCTCCTGCCCCTCCTCACGACCGACACCACCCTCACCCTCGTCCCCTTCGCCTACACACTCTCCCCCGCACCCGCGGGCACCCCCCTCTCCGCCGCCCGCGCCCTCCTTTCTGCGCGCCAAAACGCGCTCGTCGACCTCCGCCTCGGGCAGTACCTCGCCCAACTCCACGCGCTCGAGAACGACTGGTTCGGCGTCCCCACGGACACAGGCGCGGACCCGCGCGAGCCGAGCTACAGCTGGCAGGAGTCATTCACACTCTTCCTCGAGGAGGTGCTCTGGGAGGCGGAGCGGCGCGGCGCGGTGCTGCCGTACGGCGACATCCGCGGGTGGCTCAGCCGCGCGATTGGGTACTACCTGTTCGACGACGTCGAGGTGCCGAAGCTCGTGTGGTTCACGGGCGGGGAGGACGAGGTGCTCGTGGAGGTGCCCGAGAAGGAGGAGGAGGAACCGCGCATCAGGGCGTTTCTGAATATCGCGCACGCGTTCTGGGGCGACCCGCTGCTCGAGTCGTTGTTCCAGGAACCGTCGAAGGCGCTGATGGAGGGGTACGGCGGGCCGCTCGTACAGTTTCCGAGACAGAATACGAAGAGGCTATGGTATACGCTTTTCTGGGGGCTCGTGGTAATGCGAGAAGCGGAAGGAGGGGAGAACGAGGAGAGGAAGCGATGGGCGCTGGAGGTAGTCCAGAAGGCGCTGGATGAGTTGAAGGACGCGCCAAGTTATTGAGCTAATGTCGAAGGAGAAACGAATTAGAATGTATTGATACTATTTGCATACCTACGTCTTATGTTAGACTTGCATTCTGCAATACGAGATTAACTGTGTTGCGTTGTTAAGAGTCTAGGTAAAGCTCCGCGGGTATGAGTGTATGGCTCGTCCATCGAGGCGTACAACTCAATTGATCCTGTGCTGATTGGTCTCGGTATACCGATTTCATACCGAAGAAAACCCCATCTCATGATAAGCTGCTCACCGCCACACGCAATAACGGACTAGAAGCCGGCAGGAAACTGCCAGTGCCTGAATCCCTAGCGTCCTTGCTCACAATTTCCGCAGGGAGGTCGAAAAGTGAATTATCGTTCACGTGGAGTCCTGAGATGCCGAAAGGGGGGGGGACCTGAGTAGATTGACGAAGGGTGGCCGAGTAACTTCAGTTGCCGGTAACCTCAGTTACAGTAGGAGCAGACGTCGGTCGGAGGGGCCACTGGGGTCACAAGAAAAGACCGGGGTTAGGCAAAGCTGATTTCTGACTTCCTCAATCGCCCCCACCATGCCGAGGTGAAGTTCACCCACTCAGCCGACTTCACCTGAGATAAGCCCCGGATTACATTTCGCTCACTCGTCTGTCCGTCCGCGGCAATCGACACGCCAAAGTCATCATCCATTGCCCAAGAGACATCTCCGCATTAGACACTCAGTAGCTGCGCAACTTTCGACGCCACCTCTTTTGACGGAAGGTTGTCTACTTCCACATGCTTCTCCACGCCCTTTTCTGTATACAATACGAGGGGAACACGCGTCAGCCCGTGTCCAGCAGTCCCGAGACAACTGGACATGAAACGCACCGAACCGCGCAAACACCCTCGCAGGCGTCCCCTGCGCCTCCCGAATCAACACCGGCAGGTCCGGATTGTGCTGCTTAATCACGGGGTACGTCGACTTGATGAATTGCCTGAATACAGCGGCCCCCGAGGTTCGAAGCGTCAGCGAACGGACAGAGGTAATGCATGCGCTCCGCATACCTCGTGCCTTCCGAAGCACTCCCCGTCTGCGAGCAGAGAATTCGTATTTCCCGGAGAGCGGGGGACAGGACTTTGGTGAATGCGGACATGACTCGAAAGGACTGAGCGTCAAGGTGCAGGAGGAGAGCGGTGAATATCCAGAGAAGTTGAGTCTCGAACCCAAACTTGAGCTAGGTGAATCTAAATCGACTCCCGAGCTGGGGCACGTGGATCTTCCGATGCCTTCACGTGACCGTTGCGTGTCTGTGTCACGCTTGCCACAAATGTCGGGTGGCGTACTACATCGCGTTACAACCCCGTCTAAGTAGTTCGTACCTCATCTACTCAATTTCAAGTCTTGGATAATAAATACTCTTTTTAGGCTGTAGCTAGCAACATCTCATGCCTCACATATTTCTGGAAGTAGTTGGGACTCAGCACGTCGAATCAACGGAATTAATCCAACAAGCAGGGACGAAACCACAGTATCCACGGCCAAAAATTACGCTCAAGACAGTGCTGGTACGAAGCACTCATTAGAACCGTAACTATGAAAACTGAGAAATGATCAGTGTCTCATCTTATGACATTTCGTAGTTCATCCCAGGAACATATACTGTACATCGCGGGGCACTAGTACAGTACCACAAGGAAAAATACTCGCGGACGGATTCAGCCGGTCGTCTAACTAGAAGTAAGTCAGAGTCAACACGTCTGGCAAACAAATCCTCGACTCTTACCCAGACCTCAGTTGTTCGACGGATCCCTGAATCCCTTCATGACGACTAGCTCCATGGCGTCAATCGCGCTGGAGAAGTTCTTTGAGGTGCTGCTCTGCAACCCCCACCAGCTCGACTCCTCCTTGATGTCCGCCTCGAGCTTGATGGTCGTCACCAAGCTGTAGAAGAAGTCGGGCAGATCCGGGTTCGGGAAGGCGAACAGCACGCGGTACTCCCAGGAAGAGTTCTCCGCGGAGCTGGACTTGGAGAAGTCCGCCCAGCCGTTGTCCTTCGCCTCCTTGAGGTTCGTGAACGTAGTCGTGATGCTGGCAGTCAGGGCGGTGATATCTTTAGCAGAGAGCACTACACTCAGCGCGTCCCGCAGGAAGGTCACGATTTTGTCGACCATGGTAGACACGGTCGCAGTCTGCTGGTTGATCTTGTTGCTCTTGAACTTGTCGAAGGTGAGGTCGTCGCCTGCCTCAACGTATCAGCGTCATGACGTCTGATGGAGAAAGATATGAACTCCACCCTTATAGTCGTTGATCGCCTTGTGAAAATTCTCCCAGTCAAACCACTTCTTCTCTTCACCGTTTTCGAGGTGGACATAGCGGCCGCTGAATTTCATAACCTGCATACTGGTAGGCACCAAGTCCCTCGGCAACTTCGAAAACTCGTTGAAGTAGGCAGCTAAAGTGCGAGATCATTGCTCAACTATGGGCGTATGACCGGAGAAATTGGGGCACTTACGATCGCTGGTGTCCAAGAAAGCAATGAAGATAAGCCAAACATTAGTAGTGGATAGAACAGTAGATATTCGTCGACGTACTCAGACATTGTGAGAAGCGTAGTTCGCTCGTCGAGTGGTATGCAGGTACAACTTGCAGATGTTAAGACTCGTCCATTCCCACTGCTTTATATACCCCTGCCCTAGTTGCCCTCAGACTACGCAGGGAAGGACTGAGCGAATAAATGGGTGCGATTTAGAACAATGTCCATACTGAATGGAAGCGACAATCCACCTAAGCGAAGTCAAACGGAATTCATGGGTGAAATGGTGGAAATTAATTCCACACCGGCGATGTTAGAATTCCGATGGAGTACACGTAATTCTGCGGGGTCTATGCAGTCGTTAGCTTGACAGAGAAAATCACATCCCTCTCGTGGTACCCTGTGTCGACAAATGATCTAGCAATCATGCATGGAAAAGATCATGGTCTCGACATTCCGGAGATGACGATTGGGCTTAAGTATGTGCATAGGCGGCAGGGCGGCAGGTCCAGAGTCACAGCGTACCTGCGGGTACGTGTTCAGAGCCGAGTAGAACACATACCTGCTAGCCTCAGTCGGGCGGAAATAACCGTTTAGATCGTTGACCGCTCCTACAACACCAGCACCGCTTCGCAAGCGTGACCGAATAAGACCAATCTCCATTAATGCGTTAACGTTGTAGGACCGCCCCTACCAACGCTGCCTGAAGGTGTTCTGATAATTGGGCAATGCCATGATTGAATATCTTGCTTGCAGTGCGATGACGGCCACTTCACTAGGGCCGAAGGTGCCTGTGCACGCACAATGAGGGGAATCCCTCGGGCTGAGTCAAGAGGGGACGGCCCAAGACTTCGTCGCACGACAAGGTTGACAAGCTTGCAAGGAACGATCGGATCGATTCGTATGATACTAGTAGTCAGATAGCGAGCCCGAGTCTCCTGTTCGGTTCAGTTGATGTTTTTTCGATTCCCCAAATGAACGTGATGTATATCATGTAAAGTTTTGCGAACGGCATGGCTTGAGGTGCCCTTCGTCTAGCCAGCGCTCTTTCAGATCTCAACTTGAACAATAGTACTTAGTAGTACGCTATCGTGTCAGTTATGCATGGGCATGGAGACTCACTGTTATAAGTGCATGTCAGGCATGTGCATTAACTTCCGCGAGACTGAGAAGGGCTTCTTCTGAATAGATAGGCCCGATATTGCACCTTCAGACTTCGGTTGACGCATCGTCGCACTGCCACATACTGACACGTTACCCTCGCTTGCCACACTGCAGCCACAGAACTCGGGGTGAGCATTACCCCAACTGCGTTCACACCAGTGAGAGGGAGCAATAATCCTATGAAACAACTCTGAACCATTCACCTTCTGTGTACGAACATCATGATATTAACCAGAGCTTCTGTGCGCTGTCTGCACGTGATTAGTGCTGTCTTCAAGTCATTCACAACTCAGGCACTAGTGTCATTTAGTACAAACTTCGACAATAATTTACTTGCTTAAGTGCGGCGCTGCGCGGCACGCCGGAGTCCGATTCCCTTCCGCTTGACCGTTCCTAGAGCTCTGGAGAGCGAGCAGTTGAACGTAGAACCACTGCCGGAGAACAACATGTACATCAAGAAAGCTCATTTTGAGCCGCCACATTTCGGCCGGCCTGACGGCCGCCTCAATATGGCAGGAGACTCAATTTATGACCAGCAGGTAAGTAGCTACCACCGAGGTCCGCATTGAGGGCTACAGTACATGATCTCCTCACAGCGGACCACCACCACCAAATGACCCCTAGAGGACGGATGCAAGAGGGTACGAAACCCCTCAGTACAAATGAGGGGATAATGCCCGAAGGATATAAATAAAGTCATTCTAAAACGAGGTAAATAGCCCCTGTCCAACGAAATGCCACGTGTTGCCACTGAAGCCAGCACTGTAATACTGATACACTGCGGGCAGAGACCGATGTCCCGCCAGCGGGCATGCCAGGAACATGTCCCTGATGGGAGAACACTTTCCTAGAATGGTCCTTGCTGGACCATAAGCTGGACATGAAGAATGTCCTTTGAGTGAACAAAGAAAAGTCTGTGGGACATTTACTATGGCCCGTAAAAATCAGGGGACATTTAATCAACATTGTCCTTTCATTCTTTATGTCTGTATCATGTTCCGCTACGGAGCATCCTAGGAAAGTGTTCTCCCACCCTTGCCGTGAAAGATGAATGACCGGTGGCGGGACACCGGTCCTTGCCCGCTGTGGATAACCAATTCCCAAGGGAATCGGAACTGGGGGATTGCAGCTTTACCGGGGATGCTTGGCTTTTCGTCGCACCGGCAAAATCCGGCATGCTATGTTTGGCTCTAGTGGCGCCACTACTGAACAAGGACTTAACCATGATGGGGCATGCATCTCAACGTTCACACTCAAGTCCCTGTCAACTATATAATTAGTGTTGGTTTGTGGATGCCACAAGGTACAGGTGAAGGTCTATTATGAGGTAAAACTTAGAGGCATAGGGAGAGCATAGTATTAAACATAGATCCTTGTACCTCAAAAGTTTTGGGTGTTGGCTTGAGAAGGATTTGAGTGTAAGTGCACTCCATCTAACATGTGTATTCAATCATTCCAGTTTTCCGGGTCTCCACGCCATACATAAGTCTGTGATGGACAATTTACAAATAAGTAGAAGCAAGAATTTCCATGTTATTCCATGGCTTATGATCATGAGGCCCAACAGACTGTAAGATAAGACTATGATGTGAGATGGATGCCAGATATCCAGGCAACAGATACACACCATTAGGCATTTCTGGAGAGGAAATAAGTATCTCTTAGACTACAACAGCATAGGACATTCTACCTGGCCCTATATGGAGCTTGACTGAAAGAGAACTGGGGAAAACTTGGGTCCCCTATATATATCACTAACAATATCCCTAGCATTATCTTACATGATAGAAATACTGTCCTTACAAATTTGTCAACCTCGTGTAGCAGCCACAACATCTTGAACTTAGTGCAAGTTCTCAAGGTCAATTTGTTGAACAAAGGAGGGGTGAGTTGCCGGCGCCAAACGGCGCTTCACGGGTTTTGCAAGTAGCCCACTGCGGGTCATACACTGCTAATAAGTATCCAATTCCAGACGGGTGCCTCATACAGCGATCTGAACATTAAGAAGAACGGAGCACTTTCGGATGCATCATGCCAGTATCATCTACATACAGACTCCATCACTAAATAGCAATACTCTCAAAAATCAGGATCTAGTGCGGCAATTCAAAGAAGCTGAAAGCACATATATGCACGAAATCGGATTCTGCCGATAGGTCAAACACTTATATTCCCCTCTTCCAAAGATTGGAATGGCTTTCCGTTGTCCTTGTAGTGGGATAAGATTCCACCCGGATATGCTGTTTCGGTTGACTGTGTGACATCGACCTCAATGTGTCTCGCCGCACGTCCGACCCGTCTTGAGACCGACGGGCTGCTCAGTGAGGTTTGCGTCGTTGTCCCGTGAGAGAGACCCAACCCGACTCTAACAATAATTAATAACGGTGTGGTCGTCTTCACGAGATTTAGAAGACCATCATTAGCAAGGGAACATCACACAGACTCCATAACTCACGGCCAGTTGGGTAACCGTATTAATACCCAGCGTGCCTCCTATATTTCTATTTGCTCCTAGAATGAATAGGACAAGGGTGGCCGCAGCGAAAATGCCCCCAGACTCGATTACTGTGAACATGGCTGCTCTATACCGTGATTGATGGGAGAGTAGGTTGACCGACGATGTATGTGCTCTCCACAGACGCCATGCGATAGCCAATGTAATGGATACATTCAAAGCAAGATCGAGAGACCAGGCGAGAAGTGTCCACAGCTGTGATACCTCACTGGTTCTGGCCCAGATGGCAACAGAGTACATTGCGGAAACTGCCCTATAATTCATCAATATAAATGCAAGATATGACTGGTAACGTACAGAAACGAGTGCATTCTACGAGAAACTATCCACGTGTCAATATATCAGGCTGCCAATAAGACTAAAATGCATACTAGGACGAGACACAGCATCCATACCCTCCTATCCCAAGCAATCCAGAACCGCCAAATCTGGGAATACCAATTGATTAGACAGTGAATCATGATAGAGATTTAGGATTACTAAGAGCAAGTCCTGCACAAACACCTGGAGACGCGTCAGGCAGTGGATGAATATCCAGAGGGCAACTCACATTGACGCAATACAGGTACATATTTGTGTGATTCAGTGGCCCATGTCCATCCAAGATGTATATATCAGCGCCGTGTGGTGTAGCCACAGTGTCGAAATTGACGAAAGCGCGGAAGAGCTGAGCACATGATATCCCGACATGGACAGTGGAAAGAGAGAACAGCAGCACTGAAGACACCGCCAAAAGCCTAGACGCGCTCAGGTCCGATATGCCTTATGAAAACCTCGCAATCTTTACCAATGTGCAGTGTGACGCCGCTTCACGAGGATGTGAATGCACGCTGCAAACAGTATCAAACTACATGGAATTGCGTTAGTGCCGATTTACAGTGCAGAGTCAGAAGTCCTACTTGATGCCTGCAGTAACATCTTCTGGAGCAACCCAGGGATCGGATAAAGGTTGACATACCATAGAGGATACTTTCGAGCCATATCGTTATCAAGAATCCAGGTGCGACGTGGGGCAAAGCGGCAGATGGGTCGGCCATGGCGGGCAGATTCAGTGCTAGTCCACAGAAGAGCAGCCTTCCATACCCAGCACTACTGGAATGAGTGCTCTTACTTATCCCTCGAGAGTCGTGATGAAAGGGTGCTATTATAGATTCCCTGTTGTCATGCGGAACCCCGGTATCCTGATAGAACAAGAACGAAGAGATGAGCGGAATGATGATGTGCATCGGTTATGGCAAGAATGACCTCATACCCTTCATTAGCACAGTACACTCTCCGGACACTGCAGAAGTACAATGGTTGCGCGCTGCCATTAAGTACCTGCGGTAGATTTTACATACGTCCACAATTCTACCAATAGATCCTATCCACGGACGCATGGTGTGTGGCAATGCCAAATAAGCTATGGGCTCCGTGTCTGGTTGACTGTTCCACTGGAGCAGGGTAACTTCGAAATCTGGAACACACAGACCGGCAACCTTTGTGGGGCCCACGTAAGAAGCGGTCAAAGCTCCCCATAGCCAGATTAGAGCACGAGTACAGTCATGCACTATACTGTCACTTGTGTTATTCTTACTCGGGCGGATCTTCATCGGGTCCGACATCCTCAAACCAGATCATAATTAGATTGCACCATATTACCTCGTTTCCAGAACTCTCACGACGCGCAACCCGATCGAACACACGAAGCTGATAATGGGCGATATCGCATACTACATGGCCCCAAATCAGCTCAGCCCGCCTCCCTAGTCTCGGAAGCAACCGTGTACTCACGCTGACGCATAAAAATGTCGACACATCGCCCTCGTCCACGCCTACCATCTCGGCGAGGCTGATGAGCATCATGGCGCTGGGTCCACTCGGGATCAACATGAGTATGAACCACGTCAGCTGGTCGGCGATGTACCAGCCCTGTCTATACCGGTATAAGGTTGAATGCCGGAAAGAGACATATCGTGAAAGAGAAATTAAATGCGCACCGAGCAGTGAACCAAACAAAGAGGACAGACAGCACGGGCATAATAAGGTACCGGATAGCCAGCGTTGATAGCGTGCTTGTGACAAACTTCGTGCCGTCGGAGGATGTGGACGTGGGGAGGAGGTGCAGGTTCGCACCAAGCAGGAACATCTGTAGTACGACGCTTTGCGCAGTCAGCCGACCTCTTCCAAGCGGAGGGAATCCTGAGCGCTAGGGAGGCTTACAATAAGGAGCCTAGGTTCTCTATAGCCTGTGTAAGGGTTGTGTACAGCGGGCCGTCCTTGTCCAAGAGCATACGATGCAGGAATGGCGTAATCTGATACACAAACGTTAAGGTAGACCACACTGAGAACAACTGCGCTGCCAGCGTACACCCAAGACAAGCGCCATTCCCGCGCCGATGAGGGGTGGATTAATCCATTGGAACGGTCTCTTGATCATCTTGCTCTTCCCGCGGAGTTCAGGTACGGCCGGAACATCCTGCAATGCGTCCAATACTTCCCCGGCATCAGCTGCGCCATAACTATGAGGAGGGTCGTCTCTTAGCAGCCCGACGTGCTCGGTGTCCTGGATAGTCGGGATGGGTAGGTCGAACGAAGAAGGGGAGGCAGGAGACTCCGGCGGGTGCTGTGTGTCTGGAGCGAGGTGGTCGGGGAGGACGGTCTTGGGTGGACGGTCTTGCTTGAGGAGTGGCGGGCCGAAGGCGAAGGTTAGCGTGTGTTGACTGCGCGAGAAGGCACACGGGTTAGGGTTAAGAAGTGGAACCGTAAGGCCAACTTACACGGCTGAATTGAGCAATATCATACTTCGTGCTCTTTGCATGAATACATCGATGCTTTCGTCGGGTCTCCTGAGCGCACCAAGTACCCCCGAATTCTGAAGGGCCTGGATCAAGAGAAGCGGCAGAGCGTTCGACTCGGCACGTCCCGCGGCTGGGATTGTCCAACTGGGAAGACCCAGTATTCGCTATCATACATAGTTTACCAAGACCACACTTTCGCTCTTCTTTAAAGATGCGCACCTGGGCGATCCACCCAAACAAATGTGCTATGATCGTACTAACAAGTCCCCACGCTGGGACGATCCACATCCGCTTCAGCTCGCGGACCGTAAGCTGGGGGCCCATCTGGGAGATCATCAGGCATGGCAGAAACACCGCAGTTGTCACTTTTGAGAGCCGTTTCGTCGCTGAGCGGGAGAGTATTGACTTGGAAGTCGGTGCAGAACAGAGATACCCCGCGCCTATGGTGAGAAGGACGGCGATGGCGCCTTGGAAAGACCCAAGGAACGTTGTTACAAGGGAGTCGGGCGGAGCCATAGTCGCTGGCGGTGGTGGTGGTAGGTCATCAAGGAGGGCTGGGATGGAGACATGTCAGTCAAAGTTGCTGCGTCTGAGTCCGACCCGTGTCGGCGGCAATATTGGCTGCAATACTTGAGTGTGACGACATAAAAGGTTCCAAAAATAGAGGCCCTCTATTTCTATCCCATATCCCGCCACCGCATGCTGCATGTACAGCTCCCACTTTAACAATAACAGGATGTGCTGGGCAAGCAGGCCGTATGAATTTATTTCAGTGTCATTCGTGGTTGGGTAAATCATATTATTTGAACCACGCCGACATTGACGATCATAGCTAATCTAGTAACCAGAAAACTACATACTCGGGACATCACAGAACCAGCACTATATCAGCGACAGCAGTATTGGATGGGAGCCATATGGTACAGGATACACCAGATAGTCGGTTCGTGGTCAAATCTCCTGGATGATATCTCCAAGGCGGGCTCGTAGGGCCTGGCGGCTCTTCAGCCTGTTGTGCAATTTAGTATGTCAAGCAGGCATGGAACGGTGAGGCAAAATATATACGCAGCCAGCATGGAATTGATGTACACTGGTCGGCAGCATGCTAAGCGTTGTAGAAATACTTACTTAGAAAGCTCACATTTCCCAGCACTAAGGTCCAGTCCCATATCATATATCAAGGTATTCGGGAGCGCTAGTGACTGCTGCCGTTTATTCATCAACCTTGACTGAAGGTCAGAGACCGCTCACCGCGACCATGAACACGACAGTGAATATACTACAATGCAAATGGGACCGTAAGCGCGGGAATGACCCGAGACAAAGTTATCGTACGTCACCAGCAACCCCATCACATAGCTCAGTAGGGAGTCAATGACGGATCTGAGGGGCACTCAGTACAACTGAGCATGAATTACACAAAACTTGTTCATTACCTCCACGCGTCCAAAGAGGATTTTCGGCTTCTGTAGAGATGACGGCACATAGTGAAAGCAATTGCCGCGTCAATGATAAAATTGCAACAGGAACCTATGTACGGTAAAATCTGGAAGTGATACAAGCGACCATACCGAGAGTCAATATTGCGAAATTCATATAGAAGCACGTACCTTTTCTGCCCTGACCGTTGCGGTATTATATGAGTTCACATAAGCACCGGGAGTTAACTTTGCCTTCATCAGATACAGCCTTCCCGACGGTTGAGTAGCTTTCTTACGCAGTAACGATGAATCCTGACACCGTTGAATCCCGGAACTACATCAATAATTCAGTATGGAGAGGCTCATCAGTACCCATGCCTATTGTATGACGTAACTCTGTAAGTAACTCAGCTCCGGAGGCAAGGCGCCTTACAGAATTCCAATACAGCTCCAAACGTCTGGGATAAAATGATCAGCGAGCTAGTTGAAAACCTGTCAAAAGTTGCAAACGGACAAGTAGGAACGAAACTTTACGCCGTCCGACTGGGCTCAATGAGTACGTACTCTCCTGTATATGTAGAGCAGGCATGCTCACGAGACCACATCCGTCTTATATAAAAGCGAGCTGAAACACTCCTTAAAATCCTTGAAATCCCAACAGTGGTTATCGCTGCTTACCACTGTGCAATGAAGATGATAATCTGCTGGAGATAGATTGTTCAGCTAGGAAAGTCTAGCGAATGAGTACATGAGTACCGTGGGGATGACAGCTCCCTCTGCATAACACCGCTATCAAGAATAAATCCAGTACGGGTGGAACGGATGGAACATACGTTATAGCTCCTGTAGATTACGAGATATCAGGTGCGAAAAGCAGCACACATGTAACCTACCATGGCGTCGCGTTCAAAATTGATGGCTTGCGAACGAGGCAGGACCAAAGCAAATGAGACAACAGACTCTGGTGGGTAGTGTCCAACTGTAACGGTGATGAGCGCCTGTCATTGGCCTCAGGTACGTCAGGTGCCATGATGTACCAGGAATGTTGTCGCAACCTCAAAGCACAACCCACTCACTACATCCATTGGAATGAGGCAGCAGTGTACGTACCATGATTCGCAGCGCAAGCTTGTCGTGCGCATAGGTCCTGAAGTACCTCCACGTTTGTCCAAACGTAAGCCCGTAAAGACTGTTAAATCAGAAGGTCAGCATGCGCCTACTAAAGCAGGACGAGACATACACGGTCGATACGGTGGCTCCGATAAACACCACACCAATCGTGAGCGACGGTTGCATCCTCGGTGCAGAAAGATTTGAGTTCAGCATTCGAGTCTGAGTGAAGCCTGGACCATATATGTAGTCGAGCGTCAGGAGCAATCAGAACTACCATCGCTATATGTGGTTTCCATTACGAAGCCAGCTCCCAGCAGGGAAACATTGAATGCCCCAGATGAGGGTGCATTTATACGCCGTGGCGCAGACTTGTGGCGTGCCGCCTGAAGATATCACTGCGGATGGAGAAACCATACATACAACGAACCGCCACAAATGCCCGCGGAGCCAGTATGACACTATAGCGTCTCCTAAGGTCGGTCTGCGATATAGTGCACAATTCAAGGATTTATCGACATTAGTCCGTACTGACTCTGCAGAGTCGAGAGGGAAGCAGATGATTAACCTCGCATGTATGCGATAGATCTTGAAGGAGACATCTCCGACATAATATGAATATCCCAGCTGGGGGCAGGATATCGGCCCTGATTGCGTTTCCTCGGTGAATAGAGATGGTCGCTCCGTCGGCGATATGCTGAAGGAGGAGGCGCCTCTAGTACCGGTTCCGCCATCTGCCATGAGTTGCTCAACAGCTTCGAAGGCAAAAGTAGCCACTCAGCAATGACCATCACTTGTGGTCATCTTATCCACTCTAGGGCGGCAGTGACAATGATGACATTGAATTATTGGATATTGTCCTCCATAGTGCGGCAGTGGAGAGTCGTGTATTTGGAATCTGCAACTCACCTGTGCCCGAATATGTTTAAGATGGGAAGGTAGATGAACTGACAAGAACCGCTAAGGCAACAAGGACCTACATTACCTGATGTGGACAGTAGTGAAGTAACTTATAATGATGAGTACGTCTAAGCGTTACCAGAAACCGAGGACTCACACCTAGATTTCGTATTCATTGTGGTGAATGCTGCGACTCCATCTGATGCGACATTGCTTGATGGTGCCATCGTAAGTTCAGTATAATGTGGGGAAGTTCATGCATTCTCGTAGCTTGGACCGCGTCATTCGGTGGGCAAGATAGGAGCAGTAACCAGCTTGCCAGAGAGGCAGCAAGAGAAGAACATTGCAAGTTTGGGTCCGCCTAAAGGTTTCATCGAAACACCAAGCTTCGACACATCCGCACCTTGTTCCAGGGACGGATCTGGCAAGCTTAGCCCTCCAACGAAGTTATCGACATCGACATGTACTTTAGCACCTAGCAGAAGGTCGCGTACATTATGAAGGATGATTTCGAGGACGTCGGTTGCGAATCACCAGGACGGCGGCTCGCAGCTACAGCAGTTTCTCCGTAGATATCACATGAGACCATCCTTCAGGGCGAGGATGCCGTGCGCGGGTTATAGTTGCGGTCGTCGTAGAAGTCCCGCCGCCGACGGCGGTGAAGATGATGCGCCGTCCAGGATATTTCCTTGGGCCTGTAAATATACTCACTTTTAAGGTCTTTGGAGCCTATCCTCTCTTTGTCGGCGCGCATTACTATCTCCTACTATAGGACGTTGTTCGACTCTGCGGGCTCTTCATATTCCAAACGTCGGGTGCAGCGCGATAGACTCGGTCGTCCAGTAACATCGAGGGGAACGCCAGACACGATGAGCACGAGGACATGATGATCATGAGGGCGACGTGACCGGGAACTTATAGCGCAGCGAGCCAATTACATCATCGGCGCCCATCGCCGGAGGCGGCGTCGCAGACACGAATCCGCCCGAAACCCCAGAAAAACTTGCAAGAGCACTCATCTTTCTTCAACACGTCCTCGCCGTCCCCGACGACATCCAGCTATGTCGCTCTGTCGTGGTAAGTGGTGTCTTGATTTTGAAATCAGCGGGAACACAGATTCTCAAGCCGAAGCCAGCACGGTCCGTCGTGGCGCGGTCGCTGCCTAGGCCTTCCTCGACGAGGTCTGCGCCGTTCCTCCTCTCGCACGTGAAGCCGCGGTCTCCAGCGCAGTTCCAGCTTGTGAGGAGAAGTGCCAGTGCAACAGCAGGCAGCTCAGGACCAGAGGTACGTGTTCTCCATAAGCGTTTTCTCAGGGATTAAACTGAAGAAGACCGGACGCGTCAGGTATCCCCCACGCCTCCAAAATTATCGCTATGGAGGAGGTTTTTGCAGACGCTAGGTACAATTACGCTGGTCACCGTGGTAGCTTCGGGCGGAGCGTTCTATTACTATGCAAAGAGGGAGCAGCATCCTGGCGAGCAGCTGGACTTTGATCCGGAGAAGAAGACGTTGGTTATCTTGGGTAGTGGATGGGGAGCGACGAGTTTGTTGAAGACTCTGGATACGGAGGATTACAATGTCGTAAGTGACGCGCTTGCATATTGCGGTTGTAATCCGAAGCGAAACGAATCGTCTCGTCCAGATCCTAATCAGCCCTCGGAATTACTTCCTGTTCACACCACTGCTACCTAGCGTTGCTGTTGGGACAGTGACACCACGATCTATTATTCAGCGTGAGTTTTCCCCATTGTGGATCAGTCAAACCTCTTGACCGCTTTGCAGCAACACGCTACGTCGCCCGCCATAAAAAGCGGAAGGTGTCTGTCATCGAAGCCGAGGCGACTGATGTCGATGTACGTGACCTTCCGCCTTCAGTTTACAGGTGGTCCTGATTTATTCGTTATGCAGCCTCTTAAGAAGACAGTGACTTTCTCAGACACTTCCGATATCCAAGGTCAAGTATGGTCCACGACGATCCCATACGACTACCTTGTCTATGCCGTTGGGGCGGAGACACAGACGTTCAATATTCCTGGGGTGGCGGAACATGCATGTTTCATGAAGGAGCTTCATGATGCTGAGAAGGTCAGTCTGTTCCGTGCCCAATTGAATCATTGGACGATAAATGATCCTGTTTGCCCTTAGTTCCAAACACGATTCATGGATTGCGTCGAGTCGGCTGCCTTCCCGGGACAGAGCCCCGAGGAGATCGACCGATTACTGCACATGGTCGTAGTCGGAGGCGGACCCACAGGTGTCGAGCTTAGGTGTGTTCATTCACTTACCACGATCTTCTCTTTTGACCTCGTTCTAGTGGTGAATTGCACGACTTCCTGACGGACGATCTGAAGCAATGGTACCCTGAGCTGGCCGAGCGCATCCGCATCACGCTCGTGGAGGCCCTCCCCACCGTGCTCCCCTCTTTCAGCAAGCAGCTGATTGAGTACACCGAGTCGACGTTCAAGGAGGCCAAGATCGACGTCCTGACGAAGACGATGGTGAAGGAGATCAAGGAGAAGAGCGTTGTGGTCAAGATGCCGGATGGGAGCACTAAGGAGATGCCAATGGGCCTGATCGTGTGGGCTGGCGGGAACAAGATGAGAAAGCTCACCGCGGATTTGATCGCGAAGTTGCCCGAGACCCAGACTAATAGGAGGGGTTTGACGGTTGATGGTGCGTTTGGTTCTGCACTTACCCCTCAGCCCAGGCCTTGATTCATCGTGCGTTTCCCAGATCACCTGCGTCTGAAGGGTGCCGAGTCGATTTTTGCCTTGGGTGACTGCACCGCCACGCAGTACGCGCCCACCGCGCAAGTTGCCACGCAAGAAGGCGCTTACCTTGCTCGACTGTTCAACTCTATTGCCAGGAAGGACGCTCTGGAGAAGCAGCTGAAGGCTCTTCAGGCCGACCCTATTAAGGCCGAGGAGCAAAAGACGGAAGTTGAGAACCTGCAGAAGCAGCTCATGAAGCTGGAGAAGTTGCGGCCGTTCCACTACAGTCACCAGGGCTCGCTGGCGTATATCGGATCTGAGAAGGCTATTGCGGATTTGCCAATCTTTGGCAGCGGGAATGTACGTGCTGTTTGTCCCTGTGCCTATAAAGTGTCTTGCTGATCGGGGTTTGTATTTCAGCTCGCTACTGGGGGTGTGGCGACGTACCTCTTCTGGCGGAGCGCCTATCTCAGTACCTTATTCTCTTTCCGGAATCGGGCGTTGGTGGCTCTTGACTGGATGAAGGTTAAGTTCTTCGGACGGTACGCCTCACATATATGTTGATGCGATTTGGGCGACTCACTTGTTGGGTACAGCGATGTGAGCCGGGAATAAACCTGGGATTAAAAGCGCCCATCATAAAACACCTCATAATGCGATAAATCGCTTGATTCTCATACCTCTTCCTGTGTTAGTTGTTTAACGATCCGTCCTCGTGTTTGGCATAATCTGTCTGACGAAGTCGCTCCTTTGCCTGTTCCTAGACTTTATCGTGATCACTATAGAGCATAGACTATTCTTCACTTCTTCCTACATCTCTTAACCTTATGCCCTTCATGTCAGTAGTGAATAGTCTACAATGGACATACTATTAGGATGTATATTGCATCGTGAAATCATAGACGAGTGGTTGTTATCAATCGCGACTTATACGACAGAAACCCTAAGCTAGGGGTAACTCGGGGCACTTCGATATTGATCACATTCATTACCCCGGACAGCCGATATCTCACGACCGAATCCTTCATTGCGTCCCCCACTGCTTACAGTACCTAACAACTCTTGAGTCATGGCGTCAGGGAAAATGAAAGTCGAAATTGACGAGGATGTAGACGACTTGGACGGTAAGTACGCGTGACTACTATCCGGGGCGGTTGGTCTATATAGCAGGCTTAGGATGATCGTGATCGTAACGGTATACGCACAGATGTCGTGGAACAGTTCAACGCCCCTGCTCCTTCTCAGCCCACCAAGTTGCAAGGGTCGGCTAATGCATCAGCAACTGCTCCCAAGCCCACCGTGGCCACGAATGAAGCGTCGCAGGAGGAGTCGGACTTTGCGAAGGAACTAGAGAAAAACATGGAGACGCTCATGCGAGAAATGTCACTGAGTGGGGAGGGATCTGGAAGTGGTATGACTCTCAGCGAAGAAGACAAGGAGAAAGCCAAGGCGTTCGCGGCAGCTTGGGAGGCTATGCTGGTGGAGGGGATGGACGAGGCGATTGGGAAGCGGAAAGATGAGGAGGAAGATCCTGGAGAAAGGAAGGATAAGGCGACGGAGAAGGAGGTCGATGATGCCTTTCAGAGAAGTATCAGGCAGGCGATGGAGAAGCTCGAGAGTAGCGAGAGTGCAATGCAAGCGGACGCCAATGCTACCTCGGACGAATCTCTGGAGGCACTGCTGAAGCAGCTCAATGGTACGCTAGGCGAGGGAGAGGAGGGCGAACTCCAGGGGCTGCTGGAGAGTATGATGTCGCAGTTAATGAGCAAGGAGGTGCTATATGAGCCTTTGAAGGAATTGCATGATAAGGTGAGGCATCTATCCTTCTCTGAGTCCTGCGTTCTGACCATATGGCAAATAATTGCATTCGCGCCAACTACTGATCGTCACATTCACATTCACCGTCCCACATCTCTCAGTTCCCTTCTTACCTGTCTGAAAATGCCGCCACGCTCTCCGATGCGGACAAGTCTCGATACCAACAACAATACAAGTGCGTGACGAAGATTGTACAGATCTTTGAGGAGCCAGGTTACTCGGATGAAGATGCCGAGAAGGGCAAGACAATAGTGGAGTTAATGAACGAGGTGGGCTATTTTCTACCTCCGGTCGAGACCTCTCGTCTCTCCTTTCGTTATGACCCGTGTTTCAAAATTGACCTTGCTTGTACAGATGCAATCGCACGGCTCACCACCGTCAGAGATTATGGGTCCATTACCTCCCGGATTTGAGATGGGGGCAGACGGCTTGCCTAAAGTTCCAGACGGGTGTACGATTTCATGACATATGCTGTCAACAGGTCAGTTCGAGGTGGGCCAGACCGAATGGTATGATGCGCGTTCGAGCGCCTGATACGCCTCATGGGGAATCTATATGTACTTATATCGGATCAGACATCTCTACCAGTTTTCGTCCGTCCGATCATTCCCTTTCGTCGCCGGACTTACCGCTCAGGAATTCAGAAGTGGTGGATGGAACTGAGTAAATTCTTGTTTGTTGATTACACGCTATATTACAGATCCACTCCGTTCGAAAGCCCCACGACAACAACACTGGGAATCTCAGGTCAGTTCTGGGTTGGGCGAATGGGCTTCTGGGCCTCGACTCTGTCGAAAGGCGCATTGATCTTAAACCATGGCGCGGAGTCTGTGCCATTGCCCTGTATGGATGGAGTAACTATTCAGCGATAAGGTGCGGAAGACGATGTGGCATGGATCACTCACGAGGATGCTATGCGGGAAGCCGGGATCGAACGGTAGGATGCTCTCCAAGAACTTGATTTGTTCATCCGTCAAAGATATATCCAGTGCCTGGAGGTTGTCCTGGAGCTGCTCGACCTTGCGGCCTCCAATAATAGGGAAGACGTAGGGTGTTTTGTGCATGACGTAGGCGATAGCAACTATCATATCGAGAATGGGTTAACGAGGCTCGCGAGCATACCACCAAGGCAGAATACGCACCAGCTGTGAGCGACTTGACGCCAACTTCGTTCGCAACCTTCTCGAGCGCATGGGACATCTTCTTCTCGTCCTCCGTGCGCTCCCAGTTGGGCCCAAAGATGGTACGCCCTTTCTCGCCGGTCTTCCGGCGCCGTTCTTCCTCCTCGTCCGTGCGGAAGTGGCCCGCGGCGATGACGTTCCAAGGCGCCAGCGCCATACCTTCGTATGTGAAGTCAATAAACAGGCGGGCCGAGGTGATTCAATGTGGCGTGCATACCTTCGGCGCGGCACATGGGGATTATATCTCGCTCAAAATCGCGCTGCATGACGTTCCACGCGCCCTGGTAGATTACGAAGGGCGTCTTCCCCGTCAGGCGGGCGTACTGGTTCGCCTTCGCGACAACCCACGCGGGTGTGTCGGACACGCCCTGAAAACAACCCTGAATCAGCACTCGATACCTCTTGAAATCAAGGCCGTACTGACTAGATAGAGCACTTTGCCCTGCATGACGAGGCGGTGGAGGCCGTCCATCACCTCCTCGACCGAGGTGTTGTAGTCCCACCAGTGCACGTAGAGGATGTCGATGTAGTCCGTGCGGAGCTTGCGCAGAGAATCGCGGACGCTCATTGCCATGGATTTCACGTGGTTGCCCGTAAAGTTGACTTTGATAGAGACAGAGTCGTCGGCGTTCTTGTAGTTCGTGGTGTACTGCAAGAGACAGAGGCATGAACATCGGACGTGAATTACGAGGACACGGGTACATACCTTCGTAGCAATCACGAGCTGATCGCGGATGCCCCTCGTCTCCATCCATTCGCCTATGATTTCCTCTGACGACTCGTCTTGACTTCAGCCATACAATTTAGCTAACGAAGTAATAACGACAAGGCAATGAGAACTGACTAGTTGTTAGCCGTGTCGATGAAGTTCCCGCCGCCCTCAAAGAAAGCGTCCAGGAGCTTCATCGAGGACTCTTTGTTCATCGCCCCCATACCGGCCCACTTGTCGCCGATACTCATGGCACCAAGGCAGAGCGGAGAGACATGAACGCTGGCGGTTGGAGCGAGCTGGCGGTAGCGCCCGAGCTTGGTTTTGGGAGGAGGAGGGGGTTGCCAGAAAGACATGTCTGCAGGTACACGGAGGGTGGCACAAATAACAAGATGGCGAATAGGTGTACTGCTACCTTGCTCTTATACAGGATGTCTGTGGAGGTCTCGGGTTCTCTACTGTTCCACCCCGTTCCTGCATTATTCAGCTATTCAGTAACTTCTGTTCCTGCCGGTGCTGGCGTGGCCTCCGCGGCACCTGCATTTGTTTCCGCTATCTTCGACGACCCGGTCATCGTAGACATGGAGTTACGGCGTTGTGACCGCAAGTCTGCGATCCATCGGATGCTACGTCGTTCTTTTCGTCAAACTCGACTCTAGAACGACATATTCAGCCCCATGCACGTCAAATACGAGTCGCAACCTAGATTTACCTGCGGCTGCCCCTCAACTGGCCATAGTTTATGCTTCAAGTTGAGGGCTTCAAGTGGAAGTTTGACGATACGGTCATCGGACGGCAGCGGATCCGATAGTCGAGTCAATGTCGATTCGGTCAGATCGTTGATAAAGCGATCTTAGATTCATGAGCTCACAGGAGAATAGTTGGGAGAATATATTCATCCCTCGGTGGCCCTTGACTCAGTTGGTACGTGCGGACTTTCCGTTTCGGACAAGTTAAAACGTATAATGCGTTTTGCTTAAGCATAACGGCGCAAGCAGACTCCTGGAATACGGTGAAGGTTTTGTCCCCTAGGAGCCATGAAACATTTCTCAGACGACTTGGAAGCCCGATTCGAGCCGGATGCATCCATCGCGCTCGCGGCAGGCAGCGGGATGATTCAAAGCCACATCGATTAGACATACGACCGCTGCTGGTAACTGTGATTACTATTCTGTTTCTCGGTTGGAGTTCCTTTCGCCATACACGAAAGGTCACTTGTGGGACTCGGAACTTGTGTGACTCTGTCTTGAATTAAACTTGGTGACTTGCTAAACGTTAATGTCCAGATGCAGGGAGTCTACTTTGAGTTTACTTTCTCGGCTCCCTGCAACGATGTTGGTGACGGAGGGACTTCCCGTCTCACGATTGTATGGTCCCTCCCGATCATCGCTGTGTTTTATCTCCCGGTCGTCGTCCTCGTAATCCTTGCATCCTTATCTCTTCGAAGAGTCATAGAAGACGAAAGCCGTGACGCTATGCCGCCAGGACGCGCAAGCTACGGCTTGAAAGTTGCCTGGAATACAAATAGGCCGTCCACGAGCGAGCAACGCCTAGTGCACATTGCCCCCTCCAGATAGCTTGTCACCATGTCGTCCGCCACGAAACCCACTCAGAAGAGCGCGCTGAACATCGTAATGGTCAGTGTATCAAATCATCTGGCAGTGACGTCCGCTGAAAAACAATTATATCTAGGGCGCGATGACGTTCGGTGCGCCGGACAAGGACGGCGCGCGGGTGACTGACCTGAAGGACTGTGCTGCAATCCTTGACGTGTTCCAGTCGCACGGACACTGCGAGGTACGAGACGGATTGTGCACTAAGGAAATGTTGGATTGATCCTTCCGTCCGGCTAGGTTGATACCGCCCGAGTATACGTTGGTGGGACGTCGGAAGAATATCTTGGCAAGCTGGACTGGCAGAAACGCGGCCTGAAGATGCACACCAAGCTTTACCCCACCTTCGTAAGCAAATTCGGCATTTCACTTGTCTCATGCTCCTAACAGGATTCAGAAAAGCCCCGTGGGCGCCACACTCCCCGATGCGCCGCAGGATATATCTCATACTCCCGAGGTACGTAGTACTGGTCGCCAGTTACCCCGCCTGAGTCTGATCGAATTCTTTCAGAGCCTCCGCAAGCATTTCTTCGACTCGCTAAAGGCATTGAACACCAAGTAGGTGTCTTGCGCGCCTGTTCCTCTATATCGCTGACTACACCTGTACCCAGCCACATCGACATGTTCTACCTCCACGGCCCCGATAGGAACACTCCATATGAAGTGACGCTGAAAGCCGTCAACGACCTCTACAAGGAGGGTTACTTTGACCGTTTCGGCATCAGCAACTACACCTCGTAAGTGCCCATCCTATGCCGATACGCATCTGTTTAAATGCTCCAAATAGTTGGGAAGTGGCCGAGATCGTCACCCTCTGCAGAGCGAACGGTTGGATCCAGCCCACCGCGTACCAAGGCATCTACAACGCCATCCACCGGTGATTCATCCTGCCTTTCGTCTCCCCCACCATTGACTCATTTTATTCGTGCATTTCCAGGATGGTCGAGCCGGAGCTCTTCCCATGCCTGCGGAAGTTCGGCATCAGTTTCTACGAGTTCAATCCCTGTACGTTCGAGCAGAAAGCATACAGCGTGGAATGTGTGGCTCATTATCCAAATATCCACAGTAGGCGGAGGCTATCTTGCCGGTCGGTACCTGTCCCCAGATGCGCCATCTGAAAAGGGTTCTCGGTTCGATCCTGACAGGCCTGTGGGCAAGGTAAGCTCCACAGTGACGCTCGTCGCCAGAGCGGTCTCAAACATGACCCGCATCTCTTCTCCAGCTGTACCGTAAAAGGTGAGCTCACCTACGCCCGCCATCCGGTACTCTCGCACCTCACATGCGTGTCCCGCTAGGTACTTCAACGACACGTACTTCCGCGCGCTCCAGGGTATCAAGGCGGCCGGGGACAAGCACGGCCTGACGATGGCGGAGATCGCCCTCCGCTGGGTGTCCCACCACAGCCTCATGAAGCGGGAGTACGGCGACTCGATCATCATCGGTGCTTCCAGTGTCAAACATATCGAGCAGGTTCGTGCACTGCCCTTCTTTCTCTGCGCGCTGATACTTATTGCGTTCATGGCAGAACCTGGACGATCTGGAGAAGGGCCCGCTACGTGAGTTCTCTTACCCGTCCAGATATCACTTTGCTGTGGCTGACACGTGTCCGCTTGAAGCCGAGGACGTCGTACAAGCGGTGGATGAAGCTTGGGAGCTGGTCAAGCCGACTTGTACCACGTACCATCACTGATTTCTAGGCACGTTCATGTAATTTCAATCAACTGTGTAACATCAATTAGCAGAATGCAATGCATCTTCTCTGAAGTGGTACCGACTTGCGTCCGTGGTAGTGTCCTTTGAATGCTGGGGAGACGTGACATGGCCTGACTTCACGCTTACTCACTACCGGAAGAATTATCGACTCTGTGACTAGCTGGCGCGGAGGATCAGCTGGTCTTACCAGGGAGTCGTGACTGACATGTCCACCGCCGTGGGCCCGGGGCTGCAAACGCGTTCGTTCTTCTCGTTTCAGCCACCCTATCTTACCCTCAATCTGCCTGCTCATGATCTTCATGCAGGTGCATAGGATGTTCATCGTGGTTCCATCAAATCGCAGCCGCTCTATCTCAATCAAGTTACCCCAGATCCCTGCCACTGATGCCAATAAGTGACTTACGACCGCCAAGGGGACTTGATAGTCCCTTCCGACTTCACGAATAAGATGGAGAAGGTAATCTACACTCGTGTTCTTAGCAGCCAACTTCAAGCTTTGCGCATGTACAAACTTCACTCGCTGTTCTGAGAGCTTTCTTATAGGCGCACTGGTATGAGGCTCCTCGTAAAATTCATCAATTGACACTCCCATGCAACATACTCTTTCCGGCTCCTTTGCCGGGTTTCGTTCCTGACCTTCAACAGCTGCCCCTGAGACTCACGTTGGCTGACGTGAAATCGGCAGAGTACACCTTCACGGACGCAGTCTAAGGAGCCGTTGGCCCAAACTCGGCGTGACCGCCTGGACTACATACCTTGAGAGTCTTCAACACCGCGCTAAGATGTGGGTGTTATATCCAATCCTTCGAATGACGCTGCTGACATATATACGTACCTCTCATGTTTGACGTGTCACTTCGGGCAATAATACATGGATTACTACTCAAGCCCTCATGACGACTGCACTTCTCCGACAAGTACGGACTTGCATCTTCCGGCCGTCTTCGTCGCCCTGCCGCGCATCCGGATCGTTATCTCCGGGGAACATGAAAGACTGCCGCGAAGACGCGCAGGCCACGGCTTAAGCATCGTCTGGGCTATATAGCACGAGCATCCGAGTCATGTAGCGAAACCAGCATTAAAGTTCACGTTTGACCCTTCGAGTGCAGAGACGGATCCGCTGTGTCATCCACCATGAACCCCGCTCAGAAGATCCCTCTGAACATTGTCATGGTCGGTACATCTTCCATCCATACTAAGAGATCTCCTCTCAAGGAGATATTCCTAGGGCGCGATGACTTTTGGTGAACCGGGCAGAGACGGCGCGCGAGTCACCGACTTGGAAGACTGCGCGGCGATTCTTGATGTGTTCCAATCGCACGGACACTACGAGGTGCGTCTTTTCCATTGAGCCCAGTGCTAAGAACGTGATATATCCCCCTATAAGGTGGATACCGCCCGCATCTACATCGGCGGGACGTCCGAAGAGTACCTCGGCAAGCTGGACTGGGCGAAGCGAGGCCTGAAGGTGCACACCAAGCTCTACCCAACCAAGGTGCGTGCTGTTTTCTTGCTTCTTTGTATGTAGTGTGTTCTCTAATGAGTCGCGGATGCAACGTAGGACAACCCTATTGTTCAGGCGCTCCCTGGCGCTCCCGTGGATATCTCGCACACTCCCGAGGTGCGCGCGTCCTCGTTCAGGATGCTTTTTTCTACTCCACTTACTGATGAATTGACATCCTGTAGAGCCTTCGTAAACACTTCTTCGACTCCCTGAATGCCCTGAATGCCAAGTACGTTCCAACCAATTACTTGTATTGAGTAGCACTGACCGCCGTATCCAGGCACATTGACATGTTTTACCTGCACGGCCCAGACAGAACTGTTGCATATGAAGTGACGTTGAAAGCGGTCAACGACCTCTATAAGGAGGGCTACTTTGACCGGTTCGGGGTCAGCAACTACGCTGCGTGAGCTTCGCCCCTCGAGATTGATATCATAGCATTGATTTACTGTTGGGGTAGATGGGAGGTGGCCGAGATGGTCATGATCTGCAGGAAGAACGGGTGGATCGCGCCGACCGTGTACCAGGGCGTGTACAATGCCCTTCACCGGTGGGTCTCTGTATCGTTGAAGCCATTCCGTGGGTATTGACTGATGTATGTACAGCGGAGTCGAGCCCGAACTGTTCCCGTGCCTCCGGAAATTCGGGATCAGTTTCTACGAGTTTAACCCCCGTGCGTTTGTCATTACTACGCCGATTCGAGTCGCTGATTGTGCATGCCCTTACCGGCAGTGGCTGGCGGATACCTCACTGGACGGTACATGTCGCCCGACGCACCGGCGGAGAAGGGATCCCGGTTTGATCCTGAGACGCTTGTAGGCAAGGTGAGCTCCCTCTCATTCGTAGCGTCTGGCGTCTTAACAGCTGTTCAACCCGCCTAGATAGCACGCAAGAGGTGAGCCCATGCGACCCCACCGGGTGATCCTCTCATTATAATCTCGAACACAGGTACTTTACGGACACGCACTTCCACGCGCTCGAGTCCATTAAGGCGGTCGCGGAAAAGCACGGCCTGACGATGGCCGAGGTTGCGCTGCGCTGGGTGGCGCACCACAGCTTGCTCAAGCGGGAGCACGGCGACTCGGTCATCATTGGCGCTTCAAGTGTGAAGCATACACAGGAGGTGAGCCCGAGAGTACTGTCGGTACTGCCCAGGGCTGACAACGACCTCTGTGGTAGAACCTGGTAGATCTGGAGAAGGGACCGCTGCGTGAGTCCTTTTTGTCCTCTTGATCTGGGCCGTTGTGACTGAGCTTCGTCTGTCAAAAGCGGAGGAAGTTGTCCAGGTGCTGAATGAAGCATGGGATTCGGTAAAGGGGAGCTGCAGCCCGTACTTCCACTAGATTACGGACAGGTCTGCCAACATAATCAAGTCTAAGGACACCAATAACTGCAGAATTGAGTGAGCGGTTCGGACAAGGAAGACACGATGCGTCATGGGGTTACAAAAAGAGACATGACCTACCTGATCTTTTTTAAATGCCTGGAATGCCTTGGAAGCAGTGGCGTCCTTGTGTTTCAGACGCGTCCAAACGAACTTGCATTGAGGATGGACAGTGAGGCACGCATCATAGAGGTACACAAGGACTCGAAAACGCCACAGCCACACGGAGTTATTTATGCCCTCCACGGCATTGCACCGCCACTGATATCGGCGAGTTCACGACGATGATCTGATTGATGACTTGAGTGTTCCGGCTTACTGACGTGGGACTGAAAGCACTTGGACAGCTAAGTACTTGCACAGACGTTTCGACCCGCGACTGCTCCAGGACTCTTGTGTGCAGAAGACCGCCCTCGAGCTGAAAGATTTCTCGCAAACTTTGGTCCTGGATTGCAAATAGGTAGTGTAGCCGTGAGCGGAAGCGCTCCGGCACCCTGCGCCGCCCAGGACCTTTCGGCTGCGCCCCGAGTCACCTCGAGAGACATTGTGAATAAAGGCCGTGGCCGTAATTCTCGTCAGACAGAGGTCGGCCCTGGTTCAACGCCATGGCCGCTGTCGCATCCACCCTCGGCCTCTCCTCCATCCCCCAGCTCGTCTCGCCTTCTGCCGTCTTCGATTACCTCCGCATCCTCTTTGCCGGAGGCGCACTGTCCTCCTTGAGCTCCTGCCTCTTCTTCCTCCGCACCCGTCTCCTCTCCGCCCTCTTCTTGACCGCCTCATTCCCAGATGACAGCGCCGCGCACGCCTGGCTGCTCGTCTGGCTGTCTAAGCAGCCGGCGTGGCGCCGCGCGCGCTCTATTGAGGTCACCACGCGCGACCTCACCTTTGGCGAGCACGACAACGACGACGAGGACGATGCGACGACCGACCTCACATGGCGCCGGCTTTCCTTCCTCCCCGCACTCGACGTCCCGCACGTCCTCTGGTACAAACACCGCTGCCTGCTCGTGCACCGCCGCTCCGACCCGCTGCCGAGCTACCCCGGGCGCTTCGAGACGCTCACGCTGCGCCTCCTCACACGGGATTCCACCCTCCTTCAATCCCTCCTCCTGGATGCCAAATTCGCGTACGACGCCCTCCGTGCGCAGTCCACCTCCGTCTTCGTCTACGACTCCTCGGGGCGGCACAGCTGGCGGCGGCTCGCCTCCGCCTCGAAACGCCCGCTTTCCTCCATCATCCTGCCCCCGGGCGTGAAGGAGTCCCTGCTCGCCGACGCGCAAGAGTTCCTCGCGAGCAAGGAATGGTACCACGCACGCGGGATCCCTTTCCGCCGCGGGTACCTCCTGCACGGCGTGCCCGGCGCGGGCAAGACGAGCCTCATCCAGAGCCTCGCGGGCGCGCTCGGGCTCGACGTGTACGTCGTCTCGATCGGGCGCAAGGGGCTCGACGACGCGGATCTGGCGCAGCTGATCTCTGAATTGCCGGAGCGGTGCGTCGCGGTGATGGAGGATATCGACGCAGCGTTCGCGCACACGGTTAGCCGCGAGTCGTCCTCGTCGAATGAGGACTCCAGTTCTGTTGGGAACGGCGTGACTCTCAGCGGGCTTCTCAATGCCATCGACGGTATTGGCGCACACGAAGGCCGCATTCTATTCGCCACGACCAATAGATATGAGGCTCTCGATCCTGCGTTATGCCGACCCGGCCGCATGGACCGGCATGTCGAATTTGGGTACGCGAGCGCGCACCAGGCGCGCGAGCTCTTCCGCGTGTTCTACCAGCCGGCTGGTGGAGACTCAGAAGGCTCCGTTCCCTCGGAGAAGGATAAAGACACCGAGCTGGAGGACCTGGCCGCGCAGTTCGCCGAGAAGGTGCCCGAGGGGCGGTTCTCGATGGCGAGCCTGCAGGGCTACCTGATGATGTACAAGACTTGCCCGCGTGAGGCGGTTGAGCAAGTCGGGAGGTGGGTGGAGGAGGAAGAGAGGGAGACCAAAAAGGGGCGCGTGGAGACTTGAGCGCTGTGACCTTGCGCGCCTCCGTACTACAGTATACCTCGCATACCTCATAATATTTTCATCACACTATATACCACCATCTCATTGCATTTATCCTATGTATCAATAATAAAAGTAGAATGGAACCATTTACGATATGAAAGACTGCGATACACACATCATTAGATATGAAGACGACACCCAACCCCACCTATCAATTCCACTCACTCACGCACCCATCACCGCACCTTCAGCTTCCGCGAAAGGATAGTCAATATAACCTTTCGCGCCGGGTGTGTAGAACGTGTCCCGGTTATATTTGTTGAACACCAAGCCATCCCTCAACCGCCTCGGCAAATCCGGATTCGCCACAAAGTACCGCGTAAACGCTACGAGCACGTTCCCCCGCGCTGCCGCCTGCAGCGCCAGCGCCCTATCGAACCCGCCCGCGACGACCAGCAGCTTCGGCTGCCACGCCGCGTGCACAAAGTCGGTCGACTGGCCCGCGGGCACGGCTGCGCGGTCGGCGGGCCCGAGCACGCGCGGCTCGGTGACGTGCAGGTAGGCGAGCGCGGGAAAGAGCGCCTTGATGCGCGATACGAGGTGCGTGAAGGTCGGGATGGGGTCGGCCATGCCCATGCCTGGCAAGCCAAGTCAGCGCGCAGCGAGCCGAGCGGGCACGGGTACGCACCATTGGAGAGCTCCCAGGGACTCAGCCTGATCGCGGCCTTCGTTTCCCCGATGGCCTGCGTGATGGCCGCCAGGGCCTCGATGGCGAAGCGGGACCGGTTCTCCGCGCTGCCGCCGTACTCGTCCGTCCGCTGGTTGGTCACGTCCTGCAGAAACTGGTCGACGAGGTAGCCGTTCGCGCCGTGGACCTCGACGCCGTCGAAGCCCGCTGCTACCGCGTTCCTCGCTGCCTGTGCGTACAGCGCGGTGTACTCGCCAATCTCCTCCACACTGAGAGCTCGAGGAGCGCGGGTCTGATCGGGATGCGCGATGGCGGAGGGCGCGACGTAGGGCAGGCCGAGCTGCTCGAGGAGGGAGGGGTATGCACCCCGGCCCAGTGCCCAGAGCTGGCAGAATATGTAGGAGCCCTTGGCATGCACCGCGGCAGTCACCTACCATCGTATTCTAGCTAGGGTGTCTTCGGAAACATGCGAGGTCCTGCTCACCTTCTTCCACGCATTGATCTGCTCCGCATTCCAGATGCCAGGCACGGTAGGGCCGTACCCGCCCGCCCTTTCGGCAATATAGGTCCCCTCGGTGACGAGGAGCGTGCCGGGGACGCTCGCTCGCTGTGCGTAGTACTCAACAGTGAGATCAGACGGGATGTAATTCCCTTTGGCTCTGAAACGGGTCATGGGGGCCATAATAACCCTGTGAGCGAGCTGTACATTGCCCACTTGGATGGGCTGGAAAAGATGTGAGTTAGAAGAGAGTTCAGAGGACATATCTTGAAGCGCAATAATTGCAGTGAATCCGGCAGTGAATTTCGCGTGTGGCAGGATACGATACTGCTCTCCAAGTTACCTGGGCCATCTTATAGGCTCCCTGAAGGTGCGGTCGTTATGTTCTTTACGAACCTAGGTATTCTTCATAACCTACAGCTTGGTCAGCTATTTTCGCTCACTCAGCAGTTGTGGGCTCTATACTTGGCGCCATCCAAGAATGGCGGCTCCTCATTGGCCAGGAGAGTGAGAAGAGTGTTCGCCATCAACCAGCGCGGCTTATGTACTATAGGTGTGGACTTTTAGATCAATTAAAGAAATTAAAGAAATTAAATCGAAGGAGAGAGAGAAAGAGAAGGGAAAGACACTCCGTTCGGCCCCCGTGAGCTTCAGAAGGGGTATATTATTGAAAGGGTATACTAGTGCTATATTCAGGGATCTCCCTCGCTTGAAATATCCCTCGAGGCTAGTTTCTTCGGTTTCCACAGCACATGAATGTTGCTTCGCGGCGCTGCATGCTGTATTAACTCTCTGGATAGCTTAAGGCAAAACCTGGTGGTATTTTAAGTTTGAATGGACACCTCTATGTGTATCCCACTGCTCATGTGAATCGCAAGAAATCAAGCAACCTGGAAGTCAAAATCATTTTTCTTTCGGTGGTGCTGTCACGCCACTCACTTTATGCATCCCAAACTCAATGAATCACTTGTCACTTACCCACCTATAGTACTTCTACCTAGCTATGTGTCCCGGATCTCACAGTACAGATATAACTCTTCA